GAGGGTCGACGAAAGAGGGGGAGGCCTTCAAGGAGATGGATTGATATGGTGGCTGCGATGATGGGCTCAGGTATAGCAGGGATTGTGGGGCTGGCGCAGGATCGGGCAGTGTTTCGTTCTGCTGTGCATGGGGTGGCTATGAGTCGGAAACGACTCGACGGGCTTCACAACAACAACAAATATAAAAATAGATGGTACTTCTTCATCAGGGAAGCACTATTGATGGTGATATATATAATTCAATTCTATATCTAACTTTAGTCAACTATTTTGAGTGCTAATGTTGTCTTTTCTCTGTCAAAATACATTGTTTTTTAGGAAAAGAGTAAGGAGGCATATGGGATGGGGAGGATTTCTCATTGGTTCAAACCACCAAACTCTGGTTAGCAGCCAAATGCTTTAACCACTACACCACTGCAGAGTACTAACAAATGATTTTGCTATCATTTTTACATTTATTTTGGTCAGCTTTTTCTGGTTATCTTTTTGAAGTTCTAATATGTATGCTTTTACAAGTAAAAATTAACTTGTACCTATTTAATAACTAGTTTGAATAGTTTTTATAATTATTCCAACTCTATGGAAACAAGGTTAAGAAAGTCACAATGGTGAGTATACTAAAAAATACCAGTCAACAACTATAAAAATAAATTGATCAAAATTTTTCCTCTATCCCTTAACTTAGTGTTTTGTGACTAGATGGCAAACCATTTTAGTAGACTATGACTTGCACCAGAATAAAACTTTTATTCATTTAATAAATACTCATCGAATATCTCCTGTATCAGACACATAGGATCCACTGGGTAAATAAAATAAAGATCCCTGTCTTTTTGTTATTCACAATTCATCTTTTTTTCCCTTTACCCAAGGTAATATAAAAAAGATGCATAATAGCTAGAGTCTTATATACATTTTCTTAAAAATAAAAACAAATTACACATCATTCCTGCTCAATAGTGAGTATAGCATTTGCAGTTAAATTTAAAACACACCAAACTCTTGTAGTTCAAACACACAAAAGTGAATTCTAAGATTCCTCATTTAGTCACACAGCATTAAAGGCAATGATAACAAAAATGATAGATATGTTGTTAATTTTTGCACCAAGCTTAAGAAGTTCCAGTTTTACCTTCCTTAAATTCCTCTGTTCATTTTTGTGGAAAACAGAAAAAAGAATGATGTTTGCTTTCTTCCCATTTCATTTAATAGGAATGAATAGTATTATCACTGGTATGAATTTTCTTTGATTAAAGCCCTATTTTAAAAGCATGTATCAAAAGCATTGGATGGTAAAAACACGAAGTGTTAGATACACAAAGAAATAATCATAAGAAATGGTAAATGGCAATGCAATGCAGTTATCACAGTTACCACATCTGTTTGTTGACTAACAATATGTTCTCAGGATTTCTTTGCAGTTACATTTTTATAGATATGGTCAAATCCTTTCCCCTCACCCCACCCTCAATGGTCAACCAACACCATAAGCCACTTAAGAAAACTGTTACTTCTCAATCCAAACCTGATGGGGAATTTTAAAAAGAGGAAACAATAGTATATCTATGTAAATAGGTCCCCCCACCAGCCAGGAAAGCAGGGGAAAGAGAAACTAGAGGGCACGACAGAGTAGAGTAGCAGCCAGGGATCTAGGTAAGGGGAGCAACACAGGCCCCACCCCTTCCAGCCAGGCAAGCTGGGGGAGGCGGGGAGAAGCCAGAGGGGATGACAGAGCAGAGCAGCAGCCAGGGATCCAGGTAAGTGGAGGGACCCAGACCTAATCTCCACAAACCAGGAAAGCGGGTGAAAGAGAAGCCAGGGGACGACAGAACAGAGCAGCGCCAGGGATCGAGGTAAGGGGAGGGTGAAGAGGTTTTGAACAGCTGAGGGAGAGAAACTTGTCTGTCAGTTTGTTGTACTATTGTGGCTTGCATGTTGCTGTGAGGCTTGAGGCTGTGCCACCAGTGTTTTAAGTGCTGGCAGGGTTGCACATGATGTACAGGTTTCAAAGCAGCTCACAGACCGAGAGAGACTAGGAAGAAGGAAAAGGCCATCCACTTCTCAAAGAACTGGCCAGGGAAAACCTTATCAATAGCAGAGAACACTGTCTGATACATTACTGCGCAACTTTATGAATAGCCCAGAAACATTACCCAATACAGTGCAGGAAGACGAGCTCCTTAGGTCAGAAGCCTTTCAAAATGACTAGGAAAGAGCTGTATCATCAAAGTAGGACCAACCTTACTGATATGGATAAAGTAAAGCTTTCAAGACCTCCATTTGCTGACATGCCATGACTCAAACTGAAGAGAAACAGCTGCAAACATCCATTAATAATAGGAACATGGAATGTATAAAGTATGAATCTAGGAAAATCAGAAGTTGTCAAAAATGAAATGGAACGCATAAAGATTGATATCCTAGGCTTTAGCGAGCTGAAATGGACTGGTTTGGGCCATTTTGAATCAGATAACCATATGATCTACTACACCAGGAATGAAAATTTGAAGAATGGCATGGCATTCATCATCCCAAAGGATGTTCCAAGATCTGTCCTGAAGTACAATGCTCTCAGTGATAGGATAATATCCACACACCTACAAGGAAGACAACTTAATACTACTATTATTCAAATTTATGCACCAACCACCAAAGCCAAAGATGAGGAAACTGAAGATTTTTATCAACTTCTGTGGTCTGAAATTGACCGTGCAACCAAGATGTGTTAATTATCACTGGTGACTAGAATGCAAAAGTTGAAAAAAAGAAGAATCACCGGTAGTTGGGAAATTTGGCCTTGGTGACAGAAATAATGCTGGAGATTGCAAGATAGAATTTTGCAAGACCAACAGCTTATTCATTGCAAATATCTTTTCTCAACAACACAAACGGCAGCTATACATGTGGACTTCGCCAGATGGAGCATGCAGGAATCAGACTACTTACGTCTGTGGCAAGAGGAGGTGGAAAAGCTCAATATCTTCAGCCAAAACAAGGCCAGGAGCTGACTGTGGAACAGACCATCAACTGCTCCTATGCAAGTTCAACTTGAACTTGAAGATAATTAAAACAAGTCCACAAGAGCCAAAATATGACCTTGAATATATCCCTCCTGAATTTAGAGACCATCTAATGAATAGATTTGATGCACTGAACACCAATGACTGAAAACCAGAAGAACTGTGGGATGACATCAAGAACATCATCCATGAAGAAAGCAAAAGGTCATTAAAAAGACAAGAAAAGAAGAAAAGACCAAAATGGATGATAGAAGACTCTGAAATGTACCCTTGAATGGAGAGCAGCTAAAGCAAATGGAAGAAATGACAAGATAAAAGAGCTGAACAGAAGATTTCAAAGAGCAGCTCAAGCAGACAAAGTCAATTACTATAATGAAATGTGCAAAGACCTGGAGTTAGAAAACCAAAAGGGAAGAACATGCTTGCCATTTCTTGAGTTGAAAGAAATGAAAAAACTTAAGCCTCGAGTTGCAATATTAAAGATTCTATGGGCAAAAGAGGAGCTCTTGTAGCATAGTGGCTAAGGCACTTGACTGCTAACCAGAAGGCTGGTGGTTCAAACCCACCAGCCACTCGTCGGAAGGAAGATGGGGCAGTATCAGTAGTGATACTGCCTCGGAAACTCAAGGAGGGGTCACTATGAGTCTGGCCGACTCGACAGCACATAACAACAATGGGCAAAATACTGAATGATGTAGGAAACATCGAAAGAGATGGAAGGAATACAGAGTCACTGCACCAAAAAGATCTGGTTGATGTTCACCCATTTCAGGAGGTGGCATATGATCAAGAACCAATGGTACTGAAGGAAGAAGTCGAAGCTGCACTGAAGGAACTGGTGAAGAATAAGGCTCCAGTAATTGATGAAATATCCATTGAGATGTTTCAACAAATGGATGACCCACTGGAGGCACTCACTTGGTTATGCCCAGAGATTTGGAAGACAGCTACCTGGCCAAATGACTGGAAGAGATCCATATTTGTGCCCATTCCAAAGCGAGGTGATCCCACAGAATGTGGAAATTATCGAACAATATCATTAATATCACACGCAAGTAAAATCTTACTGAAGATAATTCAAAAACAACATATAGAAAGGCTACATATGCAAAGAAAAGTTTACTGCTATGACCACTTACTTAGATAACAAGAAAACAAGAATCCATCTAATATAAAAATTATAGGTACATTAAAACAAATTTGTATCTGATGCAATCTAGTTAGAGTGATACATTTTCACATTTTTTTGGCCCACTGGTTACACTATTGGATACACCTTTGAGTGATAAAATATTTGTAGTGATACAGATAGCTAGCTACTGTCAAGTTGACACTGACTCATGGTGACCTTATGAACAAAATGTTTCTTGAGCCAACACCATCCTCCTGTTTTCTGGCATGTTTGTGTTCATTGTTGCAGCTACTGTGCCAATCCATCTCACTAACGGTTTCCTTAGCCCTCGCTGGCCCTTGACTTCACCAAACACGATGTTGTCCTCCAGCAATTAATGCCTCCTGATGACATGTCCAAAGCAAGAGAATTGAACAATGCTCTGTTGTAATATATGGGGTGTTCACTGCCTAATTTTCAGAAGTAGAAGAAAGCCAGACCTTTCTTCTTAGCCTTAGTTTGGAAGATGCACTAAAACCTATCCACCATGGGTAATCCTGCTGGTATGTGAAATACTGGTGGCATAGCTTCCAGAATCAGAGCAACACCACAGTATGACCAACTGACAGGTGGTCATTACCATGATATAGACAGGCTTTTCTCTTTTTATATTTCATGAGAGAAAAATACTAAATTCTCTAATCTTTCCAAAGTTTTTTAAAATCAAAATCCAATACTGACCTGTGACTAATGACACCAGCATCTGCCAGCAGTTCAAATATTCGTACCAGTTGTACTCGTAAAATATCTCGACGCCTGCGGCGTTTCATGTTCTATTTTAAAGATACAAAGAGTTAAGTTAAAAAGCCTTCAGAGAAGTTGATGGAAAACTTGCTGGCGCAGCTTGGAAAGAATAATGTGAATGTCTCAGAGTTTCAGGGCTCATCAAAATGATTTTCCATGTACAATGCACATTATGAACACTCTAGTGACTACTGTACCAGAGGGGTATGTGCAAATAGCTGAAGATTAGTGAACCAAATAAAATCACATGACATTTCAGTTATTTTTAGTAACCTGCTAATCTGGAAACTTCAGAAGAATTGAAGGGGCTAGAAAACTGTTTCAAATGAATGACAAAGAATCCCTAAGGCACTCCCAAAAATATCACAGAGCCACAGAAAAAAAATCCTAAAAGGAACTTGAGAAACCCCACATAGTTTGCTCTTACCAAAGTTTTCCACTTAAAAAATTAGTTGTGGCATAAAACAAAAGAAAACAAAAGGAATATTTTCTCTGGTCATTACACTATGAATAAACATGTTTGCTTTACTAGGTCCAAAGAACTAAGAATTATGGCTATAAACCTCAACTTGACTCTGTTTCTAACAGAAAGCTGAATGGTAGCAAGATACCGAGCCTCTATACCACTTTCAGTACCAAATGCTGAAAAACCAAACTCACTGTCATTGAGTCAATTCCGACTTATAGCAACCCTATTGGGTTTTCAAGGCTGTAAATCTCTATGGAAGCAGACTGCCTCATCTTTCTTTCCAGAAAGAATGGCTGGTGGGTTCAAATCACTAACCTTTTGGTTAGCAGCCAAATGCCTTAACGACTGCACCACCAGAGCTTTTTACTGGTGGCCAAATCATTAAGTGCTGGGCTACTACTAACCAAAAGGCTGGCTGTTAAAACCCATTAGCAGCTCCCCATCAGCCTCTCCATGGGAAACAACAGCCACTCCAGGGGAGAAAGATGTGGCAATTGGCTCCCATTAAGATTACAGCCCTTGAAACTCCATGGGGTAGTTTTAAGATGCACAATAGGGTTACTGTGATTTGGAACCAATTCAACAGCAATGGTTAACAGTTTGTGAGCATATCCAACATACAAAGACTCACTACAGACTTCACTATTCCCTTTATGATATAGTTTTCATCATACAGAGCAATTAAAAATATATTTATTAGTCTTTTATTTTTATGTCCACAATCCAGTTTTCTGCCTTCCATAAACAGGCCAATTTGCTGATGACTGATTAAATTTATCGTATTTCTTTTAGCTCTCTATACAAAAAACAATTCATATGGATTAAAGACTTAAATGTGCAAGGAAGAATTCAAAAACTTTACCTCTGGCCTTCTTTCGAGTGCTTCTTTAATTATGGGATGCAATTCCTCTATTAGTTCCCTAGGAGAAAAATTATACACATTCTTTCTACTATTATCTAAACCAATATAATCTGATACATGCACAAATATATACAAATTAACATAATGAAGATATCAACTGACAAAGTGTTAACCTTAATCCTACTGCTTTAGCAAAACCCTTACTGTTTTATTCCAATTGTAATACACACACAAACACTAGAATATTTAGAAACAAACAAAAAATGTTATAGGCCAAGTATTCTAGTTCATAAAAGTAACTACTATCAATATTTTTCCTTAATCATTTTTAACCCACACATATTTTACAAAGTTAAAATGCTACCATATATAAAATGACATCCTCTTTTCTTATTAACACTTCATGTGCCATTAATTCAGAATATTCAATCATAGAGTGGGATACCAGAGTTTTCCTTACCATTTTCATTTATTACTGACTGAATCCTTGCATTTTATCTATTTTTTCCATTACTATAAACACTGTCCCAGTGAACATCTTTGCACATTAATCTTTGTCTTCATTTCTGATTATCTCCTTAGGATTAATTCTTAGAAATTGAATTAGAGTGTCAAAGGGTAAGAACTTCATGAAAATGATAATTTTCCCTTTATATTCTGATTTTAAATTGTTCATTTCATAAGATTTGTAAAATATGAAAAAACACAGTAAGAAAATAAAATCCATCCACAATTTCATCATTTATAGAAAACCACTACCAACATTTAAAGTACATACTTTCAAATTGTTTCTATTTATAGAGAACTTGGTTGTGTTTTAAGAAAATAAAATCATTTTTTGTATCCCATTTTTCTATTAACACAGTAGCATATTTACCTTTCATAAAATATTCTTCTAAAATTTTATTTATAATGAATGATACCCCACACCTATAGATAAATTACAATCTATTAATCTATTCTGCTGTTGTACATGTTTCCTTGGAGACAAAATATCAAACACTACTGTCATGTCAGTTGAGGACATTCTCAAAGTAATAAATTTTACCTCCCAGCAGGCAACAACAAAACAGAACCTCAAGCAAAAATGAAGAATCTGGTTCACTAACATCAAGAATATCCAGAATGATATAAAATATGCATGCCAATATTTTTTGTAAAAATATTTTAGTTCTTTTGAACAAGAAAGGGGAAATTGGAAGGCATCATCTGGAATTTTAATCACTAGACCAAGATTACACATTAACAGAATCGCCATGGAAATAAATGAAATTTACATAGCACTTTACCATTTCTAGAAAATATTTATAAATAATGTATATTTTACTGTAATAATTCTGTGAAGAAAATAAGGTTAAACCTTATTTGTTCAATCAAAATCAGGAAAGGAAGCCTCAAGTCAATTAAATGACTTGTTAATATTACATAGTTAACTGGTAAAAGTCCACATCAGTACTGCAACTATCCTGAGAATCAGAACTCTGCTTGGCCTTCTACATTTCCTCTAAGTTGCCATTTGTAATATGCTGATGCATAAAGACACCACAAGAAGATAAATTACCTAAAAGCTCCTGGGTTGGTCCTGCCAAGACCTAGAACAAGGGACTCTGTGATTTCCATGCTCTCAGAGCGCATCATTGGAACTACGTGCTTAAACAAAGACGAAGGGGATGGGATGCCAATAATCTGGAAAAAAATACCATTTTTATATTCCATTCCACTATGCAATTTCATGATTTTAATTTCAACTAAATAATCTAATACTTCAACAATCTTGTGGTCAAGAGCAAAGGATAGATGAAACATTAGTATGAATGGTGCCCCAAAATTCATCTACGGTAGTATTGTTACTTTGTGCTGTTGAGTCAATTCCAACTCAAAGTGACCTTATAGGAAAGAGTAGAACTGCCCTATAGGGTTTGCAAGACAGCACCTTTAAGGGAGAAGATCACCAGGTCTTCTCTGCCACAGAGCTGCTGGTGGGTTTGAACTACCAACCTTCTGGTTAGCACCAAGTCTTTAACCAACTCAGAGACCATGGCTCCTTATTTATGATGTACATAACCTAAAAAAAGTTAAGTGACTTGTCCCATGGCTCACTGGATGCTTGTAGACAAAGCTGGCACTTGTTTGCAGGTTTCTTACTCCTTAAAAATACTCACAACCACATGATAAACTGACTCCCTTCATCAGATACTCCGTAATGTCTTTTGATCCATGAAATGAGTAAAACAAAATTACTTTGAAAATAGTCATCAGTGTCAAAGTTAGATAGTCAAGTCTTAAGTTCTCTAAATTTCCTTGAACTATCCCATAAAATTCTGTGCCACATCATAACAGTATGTATTTTTATCAAGTACTGTTTGAATCACTATATGATTTAGGGAAGTCCTAGGAAGATAGTTTAAAAGGAATTAGTTCAATGAATGCTTTTCATTAAATATTAAGAAGTGTGGGAGCTATAAGAAATAGAGTGAGTAAAAATGAGAATGACAATTATAGTTTAAATATTCATTATAATGAATACACTAGGCATGGCTCTTTCCACCAAAACACCACCACCAACAAAAAAACTATATGTATTTATTACTGACTTCAACTAAAACCAAAAAAACCTGAGACTCACTGCTGTCGAGTTGATTCGACTCATAGCAACCCCTCCTTGGGTTTTTGAGGCAGTGCCTCTACTGAAGTAGATTGCCCAATCTTCCTGCTGAGGAGTGGCTGGTGAGTTTGAACTGCCAGCCTTCTAGTTAGGCACTTCAACTAGGAATCCATAAAAATAGTAATGGGATTTCTTGAACTATTTTCACTATTAAGTAAACAGTAATTTACTTTTTAAATCAACTTACTTTTACTCTTTGAAAATATATTTTTAAAACATTCCTTGTATGGTGCCATTCAGATTCAACGACGGATCTGGAAAACTTACTTTAGAATCGATACTATAGCCACTATCAGGAGTAGACGCCAGCGTCTCAGGAGGAGAACACCTCACAGAACCTGTAGATGCTGAGGGTGATGTTGATGTTGCTGCACTGCAGCAAAGAATCAGATAGTTTCTCCACAGGCCAATGTAGGAGTCGCTGCTTGTGGTGGTATTCACTTTCTTAGCATTGATGGGGCTACTAAGAAACAAAAGAAAGAAGAACAGGTGTTTTAAAAAAAATGCTAAATTTCAACAAAGGGAGATGGATGACACAAAATTTTTATTTACTAGTATTAAATGTTTGTGGAATTACATAACATAAATGACTAAAGGATTAAATGGAAAACTGAAACATTACAGAATCATTTCAACATAATCTATTATTTCTGTGGCAAAGTTAGTATTTTATCAGGACATATTTTATATCTTATTATACACATACCATGTAGAAAAATATAAAAAGAAAATGAAAATCACCATTAACCCCACACAAAACTATATTCTTCTATAAATTTTTATTCATATATATGCACTATGGGAGCTCTGGTAGCGTAATGCCTAAGGCACTTGACTGCTAACCAGAAGGCTGGCGGTTCAAACCCACTAGCCACTCCTCGGAAGGAAGGTTGGGCAATCTACTTCTGTAGTGACACTGCCTCGGAAACCCAAGGAGGGGTCACTATGAGTCGGGTCCAACTAGATGGCACAAAGCAAGCAAGCAACATGCACTATAATTGCATGAATATACCTCTTTTAATTTATAAGCATTAAAGAATAGTTTATTTTGTACCTGCTTTTTATATTTAACATATATTTTTAACACCTCTTCATGTAAAGTAATATATTTTCATGGTATTGCCTTTGATGACTATATCAACATATGGATTACCATATTTTATACAGCCAAACTTTCACTGTTGGACATTTTCGCTAACAGCAATTTTTGTCTATTGTAAACAGCAATCTACATTTACATGTATGCTTAATTATTTCCATGGGCAAATTCTGAATATGGAACATGGAATCAAAAAAAAGAATGGACATTTTTAAGCCTCCTGCCAAATTTCTGTTTCGAAAATTTATACCTATTATATATTTTGTAACAATTTCATAAATCTTTCTAAGCACCAAAAATCTGTTGAGATTAAACTGAGAGTGAAACAAAGATGATAAAATACTAATATACAGTCACTGCCTTTGATAAGTTTGTAATAAGACAGACAATAACTACATACCATTTCATTCATTTAACAACAGTGTCTACATGCTAGAAGAGCACTGGTGATGTAGCAATGGAAAAAAAAAATTGCCGTCATATGGGCAAGAGGAGACGTACATACAAATAAGTAAAATAATGCCATAATGTCATAAATGGTACAAAGCATAATGAGAAAAATACAGCAGAATGGGGAGACAGGGAATGCTGGTAAGAGAAGCTTACAGTTTTAAATACGGTCATTAATGTCTCACAAGTAGCACGTGTCAAACTTACTTTAAAAAATAACATCCAATACAAAACCCCTACGAATCTCTCTCTCTTTACATATCTGGAAACAGTTAACACACGAGGGTGTGAACCAAAAGACTGAAAGTTCAAGTCCATCCAGAGGTGCCTTGGAAGGCCTGGTGATCTACTTTTGAAAAATCAGCCATTGAAAACCCTGTGAAGAACAGTTCTACTCTGACACACATGGGGTCACCAAGAGTCAGAGTCAACTTGATGGTTTACATGCATATGTACATATACATATGTCTATCTATCTATATATGTATATATGCATATGGGAGCTCTGGTAGCGTAGTGCCTAAGGTGCTTAACTGCTAACCAGAAGGCTGGTGGTTCAAATCCACCAGCCACTCCTCGGAAGGAAGATGGGGCAATCTACTTCCGTAGTGATACTGCCTCGGAAACCCAAGGAGGGGTTGCTATGAGTTGGGTCCGACTCGACGACACATAACAACAACATATATATATATATGCATGTCCATATATATCCACACACATGTCCACATATATATGCACACACACACACACACACATATGCAAACACCAACTACATATATATACACACCCACTTCTCACTTGTCAACACAGTTAGGTTCCAAAGACCAGGTCATTACGCAAAAATAGAAGATGACCACATCAGAAAACAAAATGGAGGATAACTACATCATTACATAATCGCCAAATTTCATCAGCATATAATAACTGTCAAACCACTGAGAATCAGGGCCCAGTCAGTTGGTACATAACCACAGTCATCACAGCTGGCATCATCCTTGCCTCATTACACCTCAGCATTCATTACTGCCAGACACACGCTGTTAATGAGCAAAATAGTTGGATAGTAGATTCTTTTGCTTTTGTTGTAAATATGAAATTTCAGACAACAACATAGTTGATAAGTGAGGAGCAGCTCTGTGTGTGTGTGTGTGTGTATTTCGATTCAAAAGAATCTATGATTACTCTGGAGTGGAATGTAAGAGAAGGCTTTAAAAATTAGGTGGAATTTGAGATATGTCAGATATGGACATGCTAGGATGGAGAAAACAAAAAGAAATCTAGGTTCACATGAACAAAAGTACATAGAATGGAAACAGTGGACCACATTTAGTGAACTTTGTGAGGTTTGTTTTGATTTTAACATAAAAGTGTATGGATGGCAGTGATAAAAAAAAGTAAGGAAAAAAAATATGGAATAGAACAAGGTTTGAAAAGCCTTGGACTCAAGTCTATAATGTTGGGTTTATCCACATGTTGGGCTTATGTGGGCAAGTTATATGATAAAATAACTCATTCCGTATGTGGTAATTAAGGTTTTATTGTCAACTTGGCTGGGCTGGGTTGTGAGTGGCTGGGCAGCTGGTGGTAGTATTTCCCATGATGAGACTGGCAATCAGCTCCATGGTGGAATCTGCCACCTGAGCAGCTGCTTTAGGGATGTGGGCTGCTTCCTATATATAAGGAGAAGCTTTGGGAATGGTCTCTAGCTTTTGGGCCCAGCTGGGCCCTGCATGTAGTCTGCATTTAGCAGCCTGTCATGCCCTGCCAATCTTGGGACGTTTAATGGACTTGAATTAATGGCCTGCCATATGATTTGGTAATATGAGGACTGTGCCTTTTTACTTGTCAACCTTGGGTTCTTCAGCCTTAGCAGCCAGCAGCTGTCTGAGTGAAGAGATGCCTCCAGCTTCAGTGGGCCAGGATCAAGAGGCAGAGCTGAAGTCCAAGGCCAAGGAGCTTTCACCCAGCCCCTAGAGCCTGGCACTTTGAACTTGGACTTCTAGCTTCCAAATAAATTCCTGTTTGTTCAATCCATCCCATTTGTGAATGTATTTTCTGTGAGAGTGGTACAAGGTAACTAAAACACCATACAATCTGATCTATGGCATAAATGAAGAGGTGAAACCAAGAAACCAAACTCGTGTTCAAAAATTCTCTTTCATAGTTAAGAGCAATAAGAAATTAGTCAACTCTTCATCACTTCAGCAATTATTCCACACTTTCACCATTATCCTCAAAACCACTGCCCAATGCTATTCTCATCAGTCTTCATTAGCAGACAGCCTTCCTCATGATGCCGTCTGGAAAAGTAAGGTCACTGATCTTGGTTCCCCTCTACTTCTTGCCTTTCATCCACAGACTTATCTGTACCCACATCCATACTTCTCTTCAGATCCTTTCCTTGTTAATTCTTCCCTTCAATACAGATTCACTGTATACCTACTATGTACCAAACACTGTGGTAATAAGTAAACTGTCAATTACAATTTGGTGAGGTTGAATTACATGAAAAGTGTTCCTATATGTATACTATACAATTTTCTTCTTCCTCTTTAATATACCAAAACAGCATGACATATTTTTCATAGGATTGCCTAACTTATACAACTTTGTGAACACATATATTATAAAAGCTGGTAGTATATAAATTTTTAATTTATGCTAGCAAAATAGCTTACTTTATATCAACCTGTGGGGACAACAACTGAAGTCTTGTGTATGCAAACATCCAAGCATAGCTCACAGCTGTAGAGCAGTGTTTTGGAAGGTTTTCTTGCTTTAAAAAACTGGAGAGACTTATAATCCACGGGTCTTGGCCTTGGGTCACGTGTGCAAATATCCATATGTGTGATGGACTAATTACATCAAATTGGTGGCTAATCGGAGAAGAGTTCCATTCTGCTAAGGTCTGCAAATCTATTGAGCTAGGACAATACAGCAAAGTAGTCTGTGTAGAGAAAAAGGAACTGATTATTGCACATTTCAAACTTCTCAAGTTTTGCCATGTAAACTGCTTTAAACTGTAAGTTGTCTATTGGTAGTTTCTAGAACAGAGATTCTTAACCAGGGGTATATGAGGTCCAAGGTGGGTTGTAGGGAGTAGTGAATCCTTGAACGTTAAGTTTTCTGGGCATGTCTATTCATGCATTTTTCTGGAGAGGGATCCCATAACTTTCATTAGTCTCAAAAGGATTTACAAAGCAAAAAAGTTAAGAACTACCACTTATGTAATTCATACACGAATATGTAACTTTCAAAGCTATGAGAAACAATGCCAAAATGAACCAGAGTAACTTGTATGCTTATGTGCCCTATCTATGCATATGCGGAACAGACTAGAAAATGGGCTCCTCTCCAGAAGTATATACACTCTCTCCTCACTTATCAATTGGTTAGGTTCCAAAGAAAACTATGTCACAATGTGAAAACTGGTACTGTGAAAATGAAGGATGACCACATCAGATCACAACATGGAGGATAACTGCATCAATATATAACTGCCAAATTATATCATTACATAACTGTCAAGCCACTGAGAATCATGGCTGAGTCAAGTTGGCACATGACCTTAACTATTACCCATTAATCTTAACCATCTTGCCTCACATCTTGGCATTTGTTACTGCCAGATATACACCGTTAATGCACAAAACAGTTGGACAGATTTCTTTTTTTTTTTAACTATTATTGTAAAAGTGAAATGTCGGATAATGAGACAGTCAGTAAGAGAGGAGTAGGTGTATTCTTAGGAGCTCTGGCGGCGTAGTGTCTAAGGCATTTGACTGCTAACCAGAAGGCTGGCAGTCAACCAGCCACTCCTCAGAACGAAGGTTGGGCAATCTACTTCCGTAGTGATACTGCCTCAGAAACCCAAGGAGGAGTTGCTATAAGTTGGATCTGACTCAATGGCAGTGAGTTGGGTTTGGCTTGGAGGTGTATTCTTAAATATTTGCTCAATAAAATCCCAAACTCTTACGTAAAGATATATGTCCCTTCAGAGCAAATAATGTATCATTCAAAAAAAGTAAATGGAGTCTTCAACTGAATGGATACTCAATTCACTCAGTAATTCACCCACAATGAGTACAATTATAGAGTACCCACGAAGAGCCAGGAACTGTTTTCAGCACTAGAAGGGAGCCAACCATTACTTCCTCTGTTGGCATAAATCTTTAATTGAGTTCCTTAAATTGTACATATTTTTTTGAAATTATCTTCCTTTATTATGTATACATAACTCATGAGTTAGAAGAGTCAAGTGTTATGTAGAAAGCGCATACTTCTCCTGTCTATATACTTTAGTATGGGTGGTAAATTTGGACAGTCAGTCTATCTTCTGGCATCAACAAAGGAAACTTGATATGTGGAACATTTTTTTTTTGGAAAAAAAAAAAAGATAACACCCAACTAAGATAGTTTGCTTATCTTAGGAATATACTTGTTGACAAAGTGTTTCCATTTTAATGAGTAAAATTATATACGGCCTTGACATAAAATGCTCCCTGGTCAATCGATTGCACTTAAACTCTGGTGGTAAAGCCAACAAAAATTGTTTACTAAGAAGCAGGGTGTGATTTTTTTATTCTTATTTCAATAGTAATTTTTTTCCACAGCATTTTAACCTATGCCTACCCTACGCTTAGGATATTATATGTCATAACAAATAGCAAATAATAATCAATAATATTAGATTTAAGGAAAACTTCCCAAATTGGAATTTTACAAAGATAAAGTATTTTTATTTCTGTGAGGAAGACTATTAACCACAACATAAACTAATGACACTTTCCCAGTTTTTTTTTTTTTTTTTTAAAGCACTTTATAGTTTTCAAAAATACTGTATTACTAATGTATTACTTTTGCTTAAGGGAGTTCAATTATGCATGCACATGTAGACAAACATTATCTTAAGTTTCGAAACAAGACTGAGTAGTGTGACATCATTACATTTACCTGATCAGCTCCAGTGAGATGTATGAAGCTCTCAAGAACAGATGGGCTCAGCCTGTCCATCACATCTATGGCTAGTTCATCATCACCCTATAGAAAAGACATCATAGCACTAAAAATTTAGGAATGTTAAAGAAAAGTTGCCAAACTTAAGTACACATTGGAAGTTCCTTTTAGCATTGTGTGTTATTTATGGAATCGAAGGCAGGCAGGTTAGTGTAGATAGTATACAAAAGACTTTGTTAAAAAGTGAGTTATAGCTCATGGTAGTAAGAGAAATGGGATACAGAAGGACAAAAAGATAGTTTTTAACTCTTTTCATTATATGATTAAATGCAATACCTACATCTTACCTTAGGTATTTCCAAAAGTGCAAATAAAGTCCGTATTTCTCTAAGGACACTGACAGCTAATCTTCTAGTGGCAGGTCGACTGCTACAGAGAATGACAAGAGCAAACCCTTCAACCACATGGAATACACTGGAATACAGACTCTTTTCCAGAGGAGGGGGATGAGATGCTCCATCAGCTACACCATGCTTTAGAAATAAATTGAAGTTAAAAATAAAATTAAAAGAAATGTATGTATAGACATTCTAGTAAAACAATAGCGTAAAATAATCACAGAGATTATGGCTACAGGTCTACCTTAGCTCAAGCAAATTAAATGGTATTTAATTTCTAAAAATGTAATGCTGTGCAAAATATTCTGTTAATATTATGAAAAAACCATGTACCTGGAAGCCTAAACATGAATTATGTACCTAACTTGGTCATACTCTGGCTACTTTTTCACCTTAGAACCAACAGTCAATCACTTTTGTGAAAAATGAGGGGACTGGATTGGATCCTCCATTTGCAAAGCACGGGCCAATAGACTGGCATCACCTGGGAGCTTGGGAGAGAGAATCTCAGGTACTTCATGCTTTGTATGCTCATTACAGGTTAAGAAGCTAGACTATCTTAAATGATTAAGCTCTAAAATACCAAGGGTTTATGATTTATACATAAGTATTATCATAAATCGACAATCTGAGCAGCTTATATGGGTAAAAAAAATCACACCCACTGTACATGCGAAGCAAAGGCTGGAGCCATGGATAAAACAGTCAAACAATCCAAATGGTAGACCATCAAAATTGTTGCCTTATCAGTTTTAAATATATTGGAAATAGCCTAAATGTGAGCTAGAATTACCTCTACTTTCTATGTTCACTAAACACTAATTGATATGAAAGGAAGGAGGTAAGTTAGACACCACAAACACCATCTATTTAACGAAGTGTAGAAATGTTCTGTTCATGGGATTATGGATATATAAAAAGCGAATGAAACTGTATATTAACATTATTACTAGGCATTTCCCACTGATGACAAACAGGACAATACAAAAGAATCTGGTACCTGTGAGTCCTGGTGTTTGTTATGAATTTGGGCTGCTTGTTTCCATTGATTTATTAATTGTACCAACATCTTTACAGCATTATCAAGAAGTGTGGGATGGACATCAGTCACTTCACGAACAATAAAATAAACAAATCCTGAAAGAACATCCTCTCGCCAATCTGGAAAATCAAGCATTAGTGCCTGCAGAGTATTGAAAGCCAGAGCACGCAGTTCTTCATCCATATGAATTGTGAGCCTACCAAGAACAAAATTCTATTAGCACACCACAAAAGCTTTCAAATCAATAAAACTTAATGCTAAAATCTTATAAATTTATGTCCTCTCAATTGTTTTGCTACGAATATGAAGGAACTTTTTTTGTGCTATATTCTCCTTATGCTAGTCTACTTTCATTTGTTTAAATTCACATGTGAATCTATTAATATTAGTTGGTACTTTTACTATCAATCAGAATGATAAGCTTGATCATACTTCAGGAGCTTTACTTTAGAAAATACAGATGATATATCAGAAATCCATTTAAAAAACTCTTTAATCCTTAAATTACCATATGTTATCTTATAGTCAATCAAAAATTATTTCCAGTCATATCAATCTTAGCACTACCTCACACTTATTTAGGTCTCTGTCATCAAGGCAGAGGGCATGACTTATCTCCAAATTTCATTTATGTTGCTGAGGTTACAGTAAAATATAAGATGGGTGATTATGAAGAAGGATATACAAAACAGGAAAACAGAACCAATTTAACAGAAATCACTCTTGAAGGTGAGAATGAGAATAAATTTAGGAGTAACATTACATATGGGGTATGCCTAGAAAAAAAATGAGAAAGGAAATACTGTCAACCTAAAACAGAAGGACCTAAAGAGAATTTAAGTCTAAATGAATCAGGGAAGAGGCTACATAAAATCACCTTGTAAAGACATCAAAACAATACATGACACACAATTTGGTTACAAGATTTTAAACAGAACACAAGGAAGAGAATGATAAACAAGAACACCACAAAAGATGACTGCTGTCATGAAGCTACCAATATGCAATACTACATGGACAAGAGTTTCTGATTTGGGTCCGAAAAAGATTATTTTAGTGATTGACCATAAGGACAAATGTATCAGAGTTAGAAATAGCCTGAATGAATAAGTAGGTAATTAAAAACAATGCCACAATTACATGCTTGGGAAGCTGGGAGGATGGAGTTATCCACAATGACAGAGGAGGAAAGTTGTGTGGTTTAGGAGAAAGGAGATATCACAGTCTTCACCCTGCTGAACTCAGTTCTGGTCTTCACTAATCCAACCTTCAACTGATAATGAGACTGAAGAGAAAATTTATTACAGCTAGACAGACTTGGGAGCAAGCCATGAAGCAGCAGCAGTTACATTAGCACATCAGAAATATCATACAGGGTCAGATTAAGGATTTCTAGCCCAGTATTCTGTCTCTGATAGTGGCACCAAGGGAGACAGTGTGGGAGAGGAACACGATTATTCTCTATGATGCTGACTTTAAAGGTTACTTCAATATCCTTTAAATCTACATGTGTGTAAATATCCACCTTATGCCTATCAGTGTGACTGAGAATATGTATGTCATAACTTCCAGCTGAACAACGCTATAGCCTGGCTAATTAAAGGCAAGGGAATTAATTATTAACTTCTTTTAGAGATAATATATGGGTCTACAAATTTACAGTATGTTTCTATTTTGTTTGCTTTATTTTTAAGTAAACAAGATTTAGACATCGCAATTCCAAATTAAAAGAGTAAGGGACAAAACAGATCCTAGAACCCATCTTTCCACTGAAGTAATTCAATTGTAGTTAACTGCCATTGGCTTGACTGGGACTCACAGAAACCTCATGTGTCACAGAGTAGAACTGTTCCATGGATTTTCAAGGGTCTGAGGCACCTCTGGGTGGGTTCAAATGGCCAACTTTTTGGCTAGTAGGCAAGCAAAGCATTTAACCCTCTGAGCCACCCAGGGACTCCTGTAACTTAATTAGTAAATGACTATGACAGGGAAAAGAAGCAAAGTAAATAGCTTTACAAATTGCCATTCATTGTTCAACCACTTGCTCCTTCACTAGGCTTCCCTTCCCCCATCCCTGCCCCTTGTGGATGCATTTGCAGTTGGGGAACTCAAGATGAGCTGATGTATTTCTCAACTATCCCACAAAAATACAGGTGAGTCAATTCAAGGTGTACAATAAGAGCAGAATTAAATGTTGTTGTTGTTGTTTTTGTTGTGCCAAGTTGGCTCCGACCCATAGTGACCACTCCTTGGGTTTCTGAAACGGTATCACTACGGAAGTAGACTGCCCAACCTTCCTTCTGAGGAATGGCTGGTGGGTTTGAACTACCAGCCTTCTGGTTAACAGTCAAGTGCCTTAGGCACTATGCTATAGTTGCTTATTTCTTTCCTAAGAAAGCAGTAATAAACAACCCAAACTTCTTTTCTTTCCCTAATGTTGGCATAATCTTTATAACCCGCAATTTAGTTCACAGAAAAAATTAAGAGTGGGAAGGGAACGAATTTATATCATGGTACAAATTGTTAAAGAAAACCTTCTGGTGGCTTAGGGGTTACAGCACTCAGCTGCTAAACAAAACAATGGCGATTGGAACCCACAAACAGCTCCACAGGGGACAGATGAGACAGCCTGCTTCCAAAAAGATCTGCAGCCTTGGAATCCCCATGGACAGCTCTACTGTGTCCTATAGGGTCCTTATGAGTCAGAATTCACTGGATGGCAAGGAGTTTAGGGGGTCTTTTTGAATCCTAAAGGTAACAAATACCACTCTCTCTCTAACTGCAACCTTCAACAGTTGAGGATAAGGGTGGTACATGAGTCTTTGAAATACTAGGTGTTTTCAAAAAGGTGATGAAAAGAGCTATCTGTTACTGTTTATTCATTGAGTTTAATCGAAGTCTGAGAGGTTAAGTGCCCGGCAACCAGTAAACATTTTTCAATACAAGTATTACTACTTTGTTATGATTATACTTGGTTTTCCATCTAGGACAGGGGTCAGCAAACTACGGTCCCATCCAGACTGGTGCCCTGTTTGCAAACAATTTTACTGGAACAGCCACACCTGTTCCTTGAATAGTGTCTATGGCTGCTTTTATGCTACACTGGCAGAGATAAATAGTACAACAAAGACCATAGGACTTACAAAGTCTAAATTATTTATTATCTGGTCCTTTGTAGAAAAGTTTGCTGATTCTTGATTTTGGGGAATCTTTAACGTTATCAAAAAAAGGCCAAATCCTCAGCTTATTTTTTGGGAGGTAGTTTTTAAGTTTGGTTGTACTATTACTCATATTATGTATCTGTGACATATCTAATAGAGGAAAGAGAGACAAAAACTTGAATCCTATGAGTTTTGCCCTAGGAGTAAAAATGAAAATGAGAACTCGTCACCATCCTAGATACTAAAGAAATAGAGTGGTTAACACATTAATTAATTACCTAATTGGCATCATCATATACTGATAATACCCATATTGTGAAAGGATAATATATAAATCCCAGCGAATTTCTTTAGATGGAAAGCATTTGTAAATGACTGCTATAGTAAGCTTTGTTAAAGATCACGTACAATCATGTATAAGAATTGAGAAATAGGATTTAAAGGGGAATGCAGAAAAACTTTGCAAGTTAAAAATGAGTAGGGAGAACGTGTTTAACAAGAAAGAAATGATAAATTGGGAGTTTAGAAAGTAAATCAAATAAAGGATTAAAAATATCTTTACTATTGCCTTTTTAGTAATAGTATTAACAGGGGCATATTAGAAATTTAAAGAAATAGAAAGAGATAAAAATTAACATGTTGTTGTTGTTGTTGTTATAGTCAATGATAATTCTCATTTACCTTGCTAACAACTCAATGAGATCCGTTCTGCTCATGCCATCAGGAATCAACCTTGGAATAGCAGCAACACATGTTCTAAACAAATCAATTTTGGGTTTTCTTTCCCCCCTGAAAAATAAATCACAACAATAAGGATTAATAAAAAGGATATTACCTATCTGTTATGGGTTGAATTGTGTCCCCCTCAAAATACATGTTGTAAATCCTAATCTTTAAACATGTGGATGATCTTTATACCAACTGGAAATAGGTTTTTTTTTGATATGTTAATGAGTCCATATCAGTGTAAAATGTGTTTTAACCAACCACTTTTTGAGAGATAAAAGGAGCAGATCAGGCACAGAAGCAAGGAAATTACAGACAAGGCTGGGGAGACAGATGCTACGCTCCATGAAGATCACCCAGGAATCAAGAAACAAGCTGAAAAGAGAGAAGGAGCTTTTCCCAGAGCCAGAGAGAGAGAGCCGTTCCCCCAGAGCCAGTCCCTGAATTCAAACGTCCAGCCTCCTCAACTGTGAGGAAGCCGATTTCTGTTAGTTAAAGCCTCCATTTGGCTATTTCTGCTATAGCAGCACTAATAAACTAAAACAATATGCTAGAAAATAAAAGCAAACTTGGAAAATTATTCTTTCAATTTGAGGAACCTCCTCAAAGGAAAAAAATTTAATGTACTTAATAGGGGAAAAACTCATACAAATACATAGAAAATTACTAGTTTATAAACAAACAAAAGAACAGAGAAATAATTCAAGAAAACAGAGCTAGCAAGCAAAAAGATTTTCAGTAATTACAAAACAAGCATAACAATTATTATTAAATATTAATATTTAATAAAATTACTAGTGATTGGACATAAAACCAGTATTTTATTAGTATATAGAGTAAAATTAATTCTATAATAGTTAATTATTAAGAAATGAATAATGATATTGTTAAATAACCAAACATTAGCTATTATTTAGAGTCTGTAAATAAAGAGAAAAATTTGTTTTCATTTAATGTCCTACACTGACAAGGGTCTCAGACAGCAAACTCTTTCATGTATCACTGTTGGTAATGTCTATTCTAGTCTTTTTATTTCCCTTCAGGATAAAAAATATTTTAAATCTTTATGCATAAAACGTATCAATGTTTGAAAATCCTGGCTCCTCCAGAAGCCTACCACAATTTACTTCTACTATATTTTCTTGTAGTTACACAATGATTTTATTGATTTATTTTAAAGTTTAATCTCTTAATATACCAGTTTTTGTTTTAATCTCTATTTCAAGGTGAAGCTTTTAATTAAGTTACTTTTTCTAAATACTATGCAGTTGGCCCAATAAAATAATCCTTAAGAAATGACTCTGGACGTTTTAAGTGTTTTGGATCAGTATCTTTTATAGTGGTCATGGACTTACAACTGACTTTTAGAGATTTTATATATAGTCAGTCCTCACTTTGCATGGGTCTGATATACACAAACTTCAGTTTCGACAATTTACTTAAATAATACCAGTCTGTCAACAACACTTTTAAATTTCAGTTACCATATGTGGTGGTTGTGTTTTTGTGTCAACTTGGCTGGGCCTGGTTGAGTGGCTGGGCAGCTGGATGTAGTATTCCTCATGATGAGACTGGTAATCAACTTCATGGTGGAATCTACTGAGAGCAGCTGAGTAGCTGCTTTTGGCTGTGTGGTCTGCTTTCCATATATAAGCAGCAGCTTTGTGAATGGTCTCTAGCATATGGCACGCTTGGACCCTGCATGTAGTCATGTCATTTTTCAGCAGCCTGCCATGCTCTGCCGACCTTGGGACTTATAATGGACTTGAATTAATGGCCTGCTGTGTGGTTTGGTGACATCAGGACTGTGTCTTTTTTACTTGTCAACCTTGGGCTTGGCAGCCTCAGCAGCCAGCAGCTGCCTGAGTGAAGAAAAGCCTCTAGCTTCACTGGGCCAGGAGCTGGAGGCAGAGCTGAGGACCAAGGCTGAGGGGCTTTCACCAGCCCCTAGAGCCTCGTACTTTAAACTTGGGCTTAAAGCCTCCAAATTGTAAGAATGAACTCCTGTTTGTCAAGGCCATCCCATTTGTGGCATATTCCTGTCAGAGCGGCACTAGGTAACCAGAACACCATATACTAAGGGGCAGGGGAACTGTTGCTGATTCCAACTCTTGGCAAACTCCTGTGTGTCAGAGTAGAACTGCATTACATAGGGTTTTCAATGGCTCATGTTTCAGAAGTAAATCACCAGCCCTTTCTTCTAAGGCACTCCTTGGTGGACATGAACTGCCAACCTCTGGTTAGTCACCAAGAATGTTAACTTTTTGCATCACTCAGGGGCTTACCATCTATCAACTATAAATAATTGCATAAATAAACTTTGCTGTTAGTGCTTTAACTTACAAATCACTACTTATGTATGTAAATATGCATCATGATCAAGACCAATCATATCTCTTCTTTCAAAGACTATCAGTGATTGATGACTGTGCATCTGTCATTCAGAGGTTATACATGTTGTTGTTGTTGTTACGTGCCACTGAGTTGGACCCGACTCATAGTGACCCCTCCCCGGGTTTCCAAGGCGGTATCACAACAGAAGTAGGTTGCCCAACCTTCCTTCCCAGGTTACACATAGGAAGCAAAATGTGTAGTTGTGTTACTTCCTTGTCTCCCAGTGATAATCCCATGTGATACTTTATAAGAATGGATAATCAAAACAGTAAAAAACAGTAAACCAGCTGACAAAGATGAAAATGCAGTAAAGAAATGTAGAGTGATATTGCTGGAATGTGGAATTTAAATTGAATGTAAAATGGAGTTACAGAAGAAATGGCTGACCAGGAATGCTGACACTGCTGCCATTCAAAACTCTAACAGATATGGAGCAAGAGGAACTTAGTGATACAAATGTGTCCATAAGAATGAGGAAAGTGACTCACACTAAAAGGATGTCCCAGAGGAAGTCATGCAGGCAAAAACAAAACAACTTCACATTAAAGAAACTCTAAGAGATATCAGTATATACTAGTATGTAGTAACAATATATAAAATAAATATAAATGAGGTCAAATAGCCATTTTAGTATTTAAGAACTAGAATGCAGGCACTAATAACCAAATAAATGTCCTCCTTTACACAAAATATGTAGATACTTCCTAGCAAATAAAATAAGTTGCTGCCATAAAACACATCCTCCTGATAAGATAGTCTCTGATAAAGAAAAATCATACTGAGTGAGAAGGCACAGTGACAGGGCTAAGGGGGAAGCGTGGCAGGCAATGAGGTACTATTTCAAAATTAAAAAAAAAAAAACCACTCATCTATTACTCCCCTCTGTACCGTGGTTCCCAGGAGGCAAAAATATCAGAGTTGAGATTTTCAAGTTTTCTTTCTTAATTTACCAGCGTTTTGGGAATAAGAGCATTTGTTTGACTTAATAAACCAATCAGTCCATACATCTGGGGAACAAGGATCTATCTAACACTCGTAGAATAAGTAACAAGAAACTAGAATGGGATGGAGGATGACTTCTGTTATGTATACTGGTTTGACAGCACTTATGAAGATTAAATTGGGCATGTGAGGAAATCACTGCATTAAAAACAGCAGAAGACGGAAATATGGAAGCTCTCCAAAAGAGACAGCACTGATAGTAAGGAAACAAGCTAAGCAAGAACTGATAGTAAGGAAACAAGCTAAGCAAGAACCTATCCTCTTTATGAAGACTAAAACAACGGGAGGAAGGCTGGGCAACCTACTTCTGTAGTGATACCACCTTGGAAACCCAAGGAGGGGTCGCTATGAGTCAGGTCCGACTCGACGGCAATGAGTGTATGCTTTTTTTTTTTTTTTAAATAGTAATGAAGATAAAATAATTTACTGCGTACGTAATCATATCTTCAGGCTCCTTATTAGACATCTGCACACTAGTCATACACATTGGTCTCCCAACTTCTTTGTCCAAATGTCTGAGGATGCTATCTAATGCTTTTCTCACTTGAGGATAATAAACTGACATTCCTAGGGTAGGGGGAAAAAGAAACCTCAGTTATAAAGTGTTAGAGATTAGACAAAGAATACTTACAGTCACTTTCTATAATAAGTACCCACGCATCTTGAGAAGACATTACTTTATTGTTGCAATATAAGAGGGACTATCAACTATATACATACATATACATACATATATATACATACATATATACGTATATACATATTTATATTCTCCCTGATGATCAGCTTCAATATACTGGAAAAATCATGTAATAATTATGCAGGAAACTAAAGATAATTTGAAGGAAGAACAAAATGCAGTGAATAATATCATGTGGAAAAATAAAGATTTAACCAGAAGACTCCTAAAATGAAGACCTATAAATATGATAAAAAATATATTAATTTTATATTACTGTATATAATAAAATACGTACAATTTAGATTTGATCATAAAGCATTTACAATATAATATTAAAATGTATTACAGAGCAATTTACTATTCAAATTAACACTAACCTATGACTTTTGCTTCTTCATCTGTCAAGGTTTTATTGAGAAAAATTTTCTTTACACGAAGAGTATTTCCTGAGGGAAGAATAACTCCTGTTGTGGGCATTGGTGGTTCACCATCTTTCTGCTGCAAACTGTCTGCTATTACAAGGAAGACTCTGAGGCCTATGTTCATTCTCTTCAGAGAAAAAAAGTTTCAAAATGAAATCAGATTGTCATAAATTATCTTTTTTTCCAAGATAAAAACATCAAAATGACATGAGGGGGGTGTGGTCTAGGTTTTGCTGCATATATTCTCAACAAAATAAATACATTTAGAAAAAAATAAGACAGGGGTAATGGAAGGAGGGAGGACTGATAGAAAAATCACTTTTGTTTCAACTTTGCAAATTAGTCCAGGCATTAGAGTTTGCATTAATACCAAATTCCCAAATGCCACTTATTCACTTCTCAGGTCAACTGGCTCTCTCTTCTCTATATAGGTTATTTCAAACCTCTTTCACCTTCCTTCAACTCTCCTAACCTCCTACCATCCCCTCTTTTCTCCAAGAAGATGATTTGTCTCCTTCATTGAAAGAAAAAAATCATCAACTTTGTTCACTCTTTCATTACAAAACATACATTACCCTCTTCTTCCTCCCTCTTTTCTTGTTCTAGTTAAGGGGACAATAGCCCTTCTGTTAGAATCCCATCTCCTCCTTCATTTCCAGAAACATCATGCTATCAATCACTTTTCTTCCAACACCTAAAACAATTGCTGGCACATTTTACATGCTCAATAAATGTTGAATGAATGATATTTCTTAAAGAATACTTTAAATATACATCGTTTAAGTAAGAAAACTGAGCTCTTGTCACAACTTCTAGAAGCCAGCTGAGCTGGCTAACTTGGAAAACTCACTTTCTTGGTTCTTTTCTACCATGTTTACCATTAAACCATTCAGTCAGCCGTCAGGCAACTGTGCTTTTAAAAAAAATAAATCCATACAATAATAGTGAAGGGTAGTGTATTACCACACTATAGTATCTTACCTCTGGATTAATGGTGAAAGTTTTAGCAGATTTTCCAACACTGAGAAGATCAAATATTATTTCTTTCATTGCAAAATCCAAACGTTCCTAGGGGGAAAAAGATTCAATTAATAAATCTTTGAAGTTCGTAAAACTAGTTGTTTAAAAATATGATTATTAATGTATTATTTAATCATAAAATAAATAGTATACCCAGGAGTTATTAAACACTTCACTCCAATGTATTTATAGATATTTTACAAAATTCCTTTCAAGTATCAGCCAACTTTTTCTCCCCCTCTGGAGATTGCTTTTCTGGAGCCCTATTCTTCCTGTCCCAGTATGGACTCACAAGTGTCTAGGCCTGATGGTAACTATTGTCTTGGGACTTCTTTTCATCATCATTCTGGGAATTCCTTTACTTTTCTCTTGTACTAGATTTCCTTTTCCCAAGACCCCATGTCATCTTTCTTGATTTACTTTCTTGTTTTGGAGAACCACATCATCAGAAAGGATTTAGTTAAAGGAAAAAAAAAAAAAACTTGATAACTTCCATGAAGGAGCTCTGGTAGCATAGTGGCTAAAGCACTTGACTGCTAACCAGAAGTCTGGCGGTTCAAACCCATCAGCCACTCCTCGGAAGGAAGGTTGGGCAATTCTACTTCCGTAGTGATACTGCCTCGGAAACCCAAGGAAGGGTCGCTATGAGTCGGAGCTGACTCGATGGCACATAACAACAACAACAACAACAACAACTTCCATGACTAAAAATAAAACTCAGATTTGATAGTTTATTTGGCTACAGAATGCTACGTTTGAAATCCCTTTCCACCCCAAAATTTAAACATAATGCTCCACTATCTCCTATGATCCAGTTCTGCTCTTAAGAATCTGGACCTCACTCTAATTTCCAATACAACTTTTATCTTCCTTTATCATGAAGCTTTCACATCTTAATCTTCAGTGTTGTGAAATTTCATCATGATATACATCGATAGCAGGCTTCTTTCATTTATTTTACTGGACACATGGGGCAATCTTTTCTGGAATTTCTTGTCTTTGGTTCTTAGAAATGCTCTTTTAAAAAATATTTGTCTGATTATTTCCTCCCAATTTTTTTTTCTCTTTGAACACCTTTTTTTCCCTTTCATAGAAGATTTGGTCTACTTATATTCTATTCTTTCCAGAAACTTTTTCTCTTAATTGCTAATATGTTTTTTCAGTTTTCTGAATATCTTTGTGGTTAATAATCTGTTGTTTTAATGATACAATATACTGTTTAAAAACTGAAACAAGACTGCAGATAAAATTTTACAATCTCATATTCTCCCTTAACCATGTATTAATATAAATATTCTTTGATATTATTTCAAAAGTTGACTCATAATTCATCATATTAGTATATAAAATTATTCTCACATTACTCAGTTTGATACAATGAACATCGATGTATTTAAATATTTTCTGGAAATCTAGAATATCTAGGTCAAAATGAATGTACTATTTTCCAGATAAATAGTGCCACTGACTGCAGAAGAAAATATGTCAACCACAATAAATGCCACTTTTAATCAGAAGAACTTAACCAAAGGATTTCAAAACAGTTCTGCCAAGTCTTATTATCCTATAAGATAGCAGATGTAAAGTGGCATGTATATAATGATACTAGGTGGAGTGGAGGGGCCTTACAAAACGGGCAGGGCAGGACCACAGAATTCACAGGGCTACAGACTTATGATTTAACTTCAATCAGGCCAGGTCTACTTTTATTTGTCTTATATATATACTGGACATTTGCTTTTGATGGTAAAACTAGTTTTAAAACAATGTGTGTAGACAGATAATGTCAATTTGATTTGCAAAAAGATCACATTACAATTAAACTGGTACTTGAAAAGCATGTAGGCTTGGGAGAAGTGAAAAAAAAGGCAGTAAGTGGAAAAGCATGAATAAATAAATGGGAATACTTTACAAAACCGGCTGGAGGAAAACTGAAGGATGTTCTAGAAATTTAGGTTGGTATTAGGATATAATCCATTTTAAATCTGATCTTACAGGTAGTAGAAAACTTGAATCTTTACAAGAAATTGAGCTCTCACATGTTGACTGTTTAAACTGGCAACATGTTGCCACTCTGCACAGATGGGATTGAATTGAAGGGCACTACTTAGGAGGTTAATAAAAAAATCAAGATGAGGACAAAAGTACTGAAGTAGTTCAGAAAAACAGAGAACCATGGGAGGGGGTACAATCCTAGGGAAAAAGGGAGGAAAAAGATACAACACAATAGTAAAAAAATTTTCTGAACACTTAATCTAAAGCATACTTAGCCTTCATTAATTTGATTGACATACGTATACTTACCTAATTATCATTACTCTGTACTCCAGTAATAGAAGTATATTCATTTCGTTTAAATATTTATTTCCTCACTGTCAACAATAATTACATTATAGATCATCTAAGTTTTTATAGTTTCAGTTCAAAGAGCACCCAATAAATATTTTGTAATTATAGCATTATCCTAAATTGAGGAGGTAATTCCACTTGATTCTTTCTTCAAATTAGATATGCTTCCCCAGGGCTGATACCCACAAGGGTCTCTGACCAAAACCTTGGGTTGGCTCACTCAACACCTACTTCAATCCCCTTCTATTAAACCTCCCTTTACTGCAGGGGGTAGAAAGCTAAAAATTATATTCTCTAAACTCCCTTTGATTGGGAACTAGAGTGTGAGAAGGGCAGGGAGAAAGGAACTGATTTTACTGGCGGGTGTCTAGGCAGAAGCAATGCTGAGTCTGAAGTTACTCGTGGTGCCTTCCTGTGGTATAGTAAATTACTTTCTGTGGCTTTTCTACCCATAAGTCTTTGTAAACTCCAAAGTGGAATTTGCTATGAGCAACTGAGGAGCTCCTGATTGCTGAAGGTGTCCACCTGGAGTATTTCTGTTGGGAGTGGCACAAAACAATGTTCTGGGAGGTGCCCACTCTCTCTCAGGTACTTAGAGTTCTGATGCCATAATTGGCTAGTTTGACCACCCTGCGGGCTCTAAAGGAGACCTCCTGGAGGCAGAACTCTCTCAGACTGCTGGTCGAGAGATGCAAGAGACATGCACCCTGGAAAGAGACTGTGAGAGACTCTTGGCTGAGGGATGGTGGGCTGGGAGAGAGACTGAGTGTTCTTCCTGAATTTGAGTTGTAGACTGGTGCTTCCCTAATAAACCCTGTAATCTGTGAGTTCTGTGTGGCCACTGCAGTGGATTATTGAACCCAGGAGAGAGGTGGTGGGTGCTTTGGGAGGAACGGTTGGTGAAAGGGCTGGAGGGAGGCAGCATGTTTGGCCTTGCAGTAATAGGCCTTGGGTTACTGCTGTCTTCCTCTTGTGAGATTAGAGGAGGTCAGAACATGTGGCCTCCTTGCCGTTTTTGCACTTCCTTACCTGGCCGGTTTCTGATTGTGGCAGACGCACAAGCTTTCCGGGCAGCTTAAGTCTGAGGTTTCCTTTTGGTCATTCTGACTAGAAAATCTATTTTCTCCGGCCCTTCTAGTGATTCTGTTATCTATTACAGCTCTTTAAAAAAATCCGTTTGGGCTTAAACTAGCTACAATGGATTCTATGATCTGTGCTTTTGAACTCAGATTAATACAGAAATTAATCTAGAATTTTTTTTTCTAAGGAATCTTCTGAGATACCCAGGAGGTAATTAGCATACTTTCTTTTTCACTCATTGTGGTATATTATTTTTTACCATTCAATATTAACAAATGTTTTGTTACCATGCTTTTAGGTTTGTAACAAAATTTAGAACGCTTGACTTCTTATAATAGGATATTCTTATAACTTACATGTATATATATATTATTAGGGTAAGGCACTCACCTGAGCAATGAATTGGATAATCTTCACAAATATATTGAGGGGTGTATCACGAGGAACCACACTACGTGAACCTTTTGGAAAAAGTGCTGACACTATACTCATAAGACGACTATAGGAAAAAAAAAATACAGTCAAAATAATATAATGAAATTAACAACACATTAGTAAAACAATCTTCCTATGTCTTTATAATATGCACAAAGTAATTTTTCTTATCAAGAATAAAATTCCTATTTCTCAAGATATTTTATAATCTTTATTTAAAATTTCATCAGCGTGATATTTAGCAAGATTTTATTTTAAATGTACTTCAAAACAATGTACTCACCTTTGAGTTACAGTGTTGCTTTCACATTTTATTCTAATTACATAAACCCACAACAATCTATACAAAGATTCCAGTGCAACTCGAGACATTTTAGGATCTTTATTCTGTTTAAAAACAAAAGAGAATACAAATAAACTTATTTATTAAATACTGAGACTCATTTAAAATCAAATACATTCTCAGCCAACAATTAAATGCCCTCTCTCTCATTTTGTACACAATCTAAAATAGATTTAAATATGTAAGTAAATATTTGATATATGATATAGTTCAAAATAACCATAAATAAAATTCTGAGTCCTTCCTCACATCCTCAAAATAAAACACAAAAACTTTAGAATTATATCAGTATTTCTAACAACTCTATAATTAGAGAGACATCCACTTACTTGATGGTAAATGGTTCACACAACAATACCAACATTAATGAAGAAAGAAGAATTACTCATCTTTGTGGTAATTCATTCGTAGCCCATAGACAGTTGAAATTTAGAATACCAAGTGAAGCTTTGCTCACGTGAATGTATGAGACAATGCACAGTGTCACTGAGTACATATCCTTACAAGAGGGGGTAAGGCACACTGGAGTAAGAGCATGGATTCTGGAATCAGAACTGACTGAATGCAAACCCAATCTCATCCTTAGAAATTGTTAAATTTCTTTATGTCACATATTTTTGTCTTTAAAACAGAGATAATGTAGTACCGACCTCAAAGACTAAAAATGTGCAAAGTACTCCAAACTGTGCCTGGCACAGGTTAAATGCTCAATAAATGTTAGGTGTTAGGCTTTGATTTAGAATCAGAAAATTATTTCATTTCCATTACAACTTGATCAACAAACCTTGCTTCATTCTAGCTGTCATAAAGAATGAAATTCTTAAAAGGTCAGTGCTAAATGAGATTTTTTTGAATTTTGAATATGTATCTAATTAACATTTTTATTAGGAGAAACTATGTATCTATTAATTGGCTTTAGGATGCATTGACTGCTGCACCTTTTTAATTTGGTTTGAAGAGTTTCTTACTGGAAAATAATTGTTTTACATATACCAACTGGCAAAAGAGAATTTTTTAATACTAAATTACTTTAGCCATTATTTTTTATATTTTCCTAAGGTACAGAATAATGAGTCTACTACATATGATTTAAAGTCATGCAGAAGATAACAAATGACAGTTTTAAAAGGACTTGACCACTAGAAAACATAAATGACACATTTTGTACATATTTCTGTGTGAAGATCTAATATAATTAAGAATGGGAAATCAATTACTCTGTTGGTCAGATTTACGTCTTATTTGGAACTATTCTGCTAAAATTTAAGTATTCTCTGTAAGCTTTGTCCACTGCTTGTTCAACATTGTCAGTTAATGAACTGAACGTATAGCCTGTTAAGTTTTACAGAGGCAGAGATTTACACATGTAATGACTCTAAGGACACTAATTCTCCAATTACTATCTTCTGAACGTCTGACTCATCCACTGCTTTCCACCTACCAGGCAAGCTAGCCCACACCAGTCAAGTGCCTAGATCTCAACATCAATCCATTCAATGCCAGATCTATTATAAACCCAGATTTCCAATATGTTTTCTAAGTTGATCCCTTGGGTGTCCATAACTTAAAACTTCACAAAATATAAAGCCTCCATTTTAAAAACTAGTTAAAAACATTTAGCTAAAAGTAATTTGTTATTTTAGTATTTTAAGAATTTTTTTAAAAAAAAAAAAACAACCCACTGCTGTCCAGTCGATTCCAATTCACTCCATTGGGTTTCTGAGGTGGTAAAACTTTATGGAAATAGATTGCCCAGTCTTGCTTCCTTTAAGAATGTTGTACTCAAAACAAAATCAGATTTTTAAAGCTACGCTAGATGTGCAATTTTGATGACCTTTTATCAGTAGCCTACAAGACACTATAATTAATCTAACGCTCATTGTCCCAGTAAAACTATTAATCCCTAGTGGCAATAATTTTTTAAAATGTCAAAATTCAAAAATGTACAATTGTTAAAAGGGTTTACCATTATATTTTAAAGGAAGTAGATGGTTTATAGTAATTACTATCTCACCCTAAATAAACAGGAATGACTAGTATAACACCCAAGTTTTTATAGTAATATCTTTTAAGAAAATATAACATTCTTTTCTATCATTTAAATTTAAGACATCAAATATTTAAATGAGTTCAATCATTTATATATACACTGCAAACAATACTTTCACATTTGTAAAGTGTCGTATTTTCAAAATGTGATTAGTATAAATTATACTTTAAAAATACCAAAGTCCTATTCCACATAAAAATCATTCTCATATAAGTTGGTGAACATAAAAGTATTTCCTCTATCTTATATTAAGTGGTGGGAGCTCTGATGGCATAGTACCTATGGCATTTGACAGCTAACCAGAAGGTTGGCAGTTCAAACCCACCAGACTCTTTGGAAGGAAGGTTGAACAATCTACTTCCGTAGAGATACTGCCTCAGAAACCCAAGGAGGGGTCGCTATGAGTCGAAATCAACAGGATGGCAGTGAGTTTGAGTTTGGTTATATTAAGTGATGGGGTATCTGGCATGAATAAACTCGGTTTTCAAACTTTCTGAGATGGAAATGTTTACAAAGCAGACTTAGTGATAAAACACAATTGGTGTTTTGTTTTGTTTTGTTTTGGTCACACCAATGCTGCTACATATGTGTAAATTAAAAAAAAAAAAAAATACTAAATTGATCTGAGCCTTAAGCAGAACAAAGATATATTAATTTTCCAGTTCCAATTTTGGTCTAACATGAATAATCAAATTCATGCATAAATTTAAAATTCCAATGATATATGTACACAACAAAATTTTGGTAGTCAAATACAATCTTTGGCAGCAATCATTTTTTCATTGTGATAAAAATATGCATAACAAAACAATTGCCAATTCAACATTTTCACATGTATAATCAACTCAATGGTACTGATTATACTTATCATGTTATGCAACCATTACCACTATCCTTTTGCAAATTATTCTACCACCACTAACAGAAACTCAGTACTCCCTAAGGCAGCATTCATTTAAATATTTCTTCTCTTTTTCCTGCTATGAACCAAAAAATATAGTTTGTTTAAAATTCAAACAAATAACAAATAGATAAAAGTTTTAAACATTAATTCTCTAAAATCATATTCAAAATCTACATTCATCTCTCCTTAATTTCATTGGAAAATATTTTTAAATGTTTCAGGCAGATAATGTAAATTAGAAGTAACATTTTAAAATTGAGAATTTGGGTGAAGAATTAGCATTCAACATTACTTTTCTACCTCTTAAACTCATCTTCTTGCGGCCATATTAATATTAAGGCTTCTGAAGAATGTTCCTGCTGTGTGCTACTCTTCTGTTACAATACTAGAAGCAGGTTTGGATAAACACATTAGACATGCAATGCAACAATGAGTAAAGGGGGAAAAATGCCACACTTAAAGGAGATAAAGCAGTATTTTACTTGGTAATGTCAACACAACTCACCTGGAGTGTTTCTATTTGTTTTCTGATACTGTTGTTAGATGGCATCTAAATAAAGCAATGTGAGACAGCAAACATAACATGAGATGCAGCACATGCATGTTAGATGAAAATAAGCACAAAACAAGACAGCTCTTCACCAAGGTCTCTATTTAGAAGAAATTTGAAATTTCCAAGAAAGTGGCCAGAAACACTAAGAGAAAAAAATCCCACAATCCGGGCATCATAGGATACATCTCCAATACTCAAACTGAGAAAAACACTGTCAGAATTTTAACTACCTAATTTTCCCTCTCATAAATACTGTATTTAGTTTCAAACAACTTCAAAATTTTAAGAGTAAGTAAACATACACCGTATATGTGTGTGGGGGGGAATTCCAAATTATTTTTATATAATCTCTACTCTTCTCTCCATTATTGACCAGAAACTTTCTAATCACTTTTCACACTTAAATGTAAAGCACTTAAATCGATACAAAGATATAGGAGCAAGAAACTTATCAAATTCTGCTTGGGGGAAAAAGAAAAGATTGAACATTTTCAGTGAAAATATAAAGTGAAGCTCCCTCACGTGCTATTTATGGGCACACAGGAATAAAGCCCAGTTCTTATATTCAACCAATCTAAAAAAATTGGTATGTTTAAAAAACAAAAAAGGTATGGTAATTTTTAAAATACGGCACAGTATGTTAGAGTGCCTTGTAAATTCATCAAACTTATGACTGCAGAGAATAATGTCTTTTTGATATCTGAGAATTACAGGCAAAACAACACCTCCTTAAAATATTCAGTACACCAACATTCCTTAGAGTATACTCCATGGTAACATGGTGGACCAGAAAACCAAGAGTTAAGGAACTGGATTGACCTGGAAGCAAATCCTCTCCAGCACTTATCAGCTCCCTAAACATGGGCTACAGATTTATCTTTTTCAAGCCCCAGTTAACATGGAAATTAAATGGGATACTACTGTATTTAGAGGAGCTCTGGTAGCATAGTGCCTAAGGCAACTGACTGCTAACAAGAAGGTTGGCAGTTCAAACCCACCAGCCACTCCTCTTCTGTTACAATACTTCCCTGGAAGGAAGGTTGGGCATCTACTTCTGTACTGATACTGCCTCAGAAACCCAAAGAGGGGTTGCTATGAGTCAAGTTTGACTCAACAGCACATAACAACAAAAACAACAACAACAACAGTGCATTTAAAGAATGTAGCATACAGTAAATATTAGTACAAATCAGCATTAAAAAGTGGTGGGTCTATTCAAGAGAAAATTGTTTTAATTTTTTTTTTTTTTTTAAATCAGGCAATTACCTAAATCTCAAAACAAAATCAATATGGGTAAGGCCTTTCCTTTGGAGCAGTTTTTCCTTTATATATTCTGTTATAATGGGTAACTAGCATAGTTTTGCCTTGAATGTTCAGCTCCTTACCTCAACTATGCAGAACAGCATAGTATCTAAAACTTAATAAACAGCCAATGCCTAAAATTTCTGCTGAATAGAGCCTTAATGTAAGTTAAGGGTTAACGGCCAAGACAACTATATTCCAATTACTCATGCGAAGTGGCTCTTATCTCCTTTAGACTGGCAGACTGACACACCCATTAATGAAAATGGGCAGTGTGCCAGAAATATTTAACAGGAGGTAAGGGTTCAAAGAAAACAGAGCATTTTAAATGAAAGCCTTAAGAAAAAAAAAAGTTAAAAGTACCGCGAAAGTATTGCAAATATGTTAGGTGGAAACATACATATATATATAAAAAAATTTCAACAAGCAACAGAAAAGTATGAATTGTCACGAAACAAAGCAACCTTCCAGAAACATCTGAATGCATGTCTTATAATATTTTATTAAAAGTATGAAAAATCATACTTCCCAGAAAATGATCAAATCTATTTAAGTACCTGTATCTGTATGAGTTATCAAAATAAGGACAGAGATAAGTATAATTATTTAAATAAAATGTATTTCCTAGTTGCATGACATAAAGAGTTTAAGCCAAGATGGTATATTGGTTATTATCCAAATGTGAATAATATTATGTATTCCTAGGAGGAAAATAGCCAAAAAAGGTTTTTCAAAGACATTACTTTCTGTATACCTTACTAAGAATTCAAGGCAGTTTTGAAAATGATGTCCTGTGGATTATTCCTGAAGTAGGAAAGAGGAGACAGTTCTATTTCTCACAATACCACAGTGAGCTACATGACCAGAGACAAGTCATTTAATCTACCAGTGCCTTGATTTCATTATCTTCAAAGAACTGGGTTTTTAATCTCGACCCTAATTTAGAGGAATAGCAAGAAATGAAACATCAAGTCAGTAGTGCTTGTAACTTGTAAGCAAACGTTCAAATAGGCTCATATAACTATATATCAAAACAGTATTCAAATCAAGCATTCTGGGTCAGACTTCACTTGCATTCCTATCCAAAAATAAAAGAGGATCCTACTAGCAGAGCATCCTGGGAAAATAATAATCCTTCAATTGCACAATCTTATGTTTAAAACTAAGAGAGACTGAACACGGATGTGCCAAATAGTATTAGTAACCGTTATTCCTTGATTCAAGTCAAAATCATTCCGAGAGCTTTTATATCTGTGTGGATCCAGTAGCACACTTTTGGATTTGGCTGGACACATTTGCTTTAAATGTACTTTTAGGGATATTTTATTATCAATTGTTTTTTGTAGTGCTTAGATTTGAGCCAACATTCCTGAATTTTCTCAAAACACAAACACAAAGTAAGTACCTGGAGGCTTTTGTGAAATTAATCAGTACTCTGCAATTCTAAAGAAATTATCAACAAATCTTTCTCAATCTAAGATGATACAAACAATTACCAGTGAATATGTAGAATTTTGCACTCAAGAAGACAAACTAAATATTCAATTAAAAGTTTATTTATGATTCCCTAGAGAAAGAATGAAATATGTACAAGAAAAGGCATGTGGCAAAGTATTGTTATTCAACAGTACCAATAGTAATGAAAGTTTTATTACATACTTTTCAATGTATGTGCATAAATAAATATACCACATTCAGTATTTACAGGTCAGAAATGAGATCATGTCTTACCTTTAAATGTGACAAACAGTTCTGTAGGAAAATATGCCAGTTATTTAAAAAAAACTGTTTCTGACTGACACATAAAAGGCAGGTAATTAGTGGATATAAAGCCTATAAGAGACAGAAAAAAGAGAATTAACATTTTTCATGGAAAAGTACTGCTCTTGCTAATGGTATCTCATCTGTTCTCATATATAAACAAGAGACTAAAGATTCTTTTATGCAGTTCTCCCATTTGTAACAAATCTCATAGAATAATCTAACAAAGAATGATAAAAAACAAATTATCTATAAGGACAATGCCTCGACATAACACACTACACAAAAACATTGTTCTATATCCTACTTTGGTGAGTAGCAACTGGGGTCTTAACAGTTTGCAAGCAGCCATCTAGATGCAACAATGGGTCTCTCTTTGTCCAGAGCAAAGAGGAATGAAGAAAACCAAAGATGCATGGAAACAATTAGTCTAAGGGACTAGGAGAACATGCGATCCTCAGCCTATATGACCATGAGACCAGAACTAGATGGTGCCCAGCTACTATTGTCAACTACTCAGAAAGGGATCAGTATCAGCAGGAGATACTGGATAGAGTGGCAGAACAATGAAGAACAAAACTCAAAATCTAACTGATTTTTTTTAAAAAAAGACCAGGTTTACTGGTCTGATAGAGCCTGGAGAGACCTCTCAGACTATGGCCCCTAGCCACCCTTCAGGTCTGGAACCGAACTCACTCCTATGGCTTCCAGCCGAACACTAGATAGGCATATAGGGTAAACATTTATACCAGGTAGACACACTCCTTAGAGCTCAATGGTGAAAGAACAGACGGGCAGTGTTTGCACAGGGAGATAGCTCGGGGGGCAGGAATGCATAGAAAAGAAGGACACAGGGAAGAGGTAACTATGGGAAGGAAGTGGAAAGAAACTGTTAAACTGTGAGGAACTGCAGTCAATGTCATGAAACAAAATGTGTGTGAACTGCTGTATGGAAAATGAATTTGCTCTGTAAACTTTCACCCAAATCACAATAAAAATTAAAAAAAAAAAAAAAAGAACAATGTCTTGAACTCTCATACCTCCCTGTCTTAGAACATGCTTTTGTTTTCCCTGGACTCATTAGTCCCTCAATCAGGACAGGGCAGTGGTTATAAACATAGGCCCTGGGATCAGAGAACACACTGTCATTAACGTTTCAGTATTCTGTCTGCCACCTGTATAGCTTCAGGGAGGACACGTTAAGTACTCTAAGCCTGTATCCTAACGTAAAGCGGAAGGTAATAACCACAAGTGTCTTATAGAGCTGTGAGGCTTAAACTAAGATAAACACAAAGAATTTAGCTCAACTGAGTGCCTAGGATCAATCACTATTTATTATTATTATTATTATTATTATTATTATATGTTCAGTTTAGGTTGTCAAGTATTTGTCCAATTCTCCTAATTTCTCCCAATCTGTATAAAAATCTACAAATTCTTTAAAATTATGTAAGTGGATAGTTAAATTGAAAAAAATGCCTTACTTCTCTGAAAACAAATGATGTAATAAGGCAGAGAATGGTTCCTAAAATAATCTGATGTTTTAGAATGCAATGCATTATAATGCAAAATAAAGGAATTTATGGTTTAATATAAGCCTATATTCAATCTTTTCCTTATTATAATACATAATTTAAAGTGCCTGTCAAGATTAAGGATAAAATTTGAATAACCTATCAAATGTAGAACTAATAAAATTAAGGATATTTTCTTCCTTTGTATTGCAGTTTGGATATTTTACAATTTCAATTTTTACAATGCTTTTAAGTCTCCATTGAATTCATAAATCATTACTGAAGCTTCCAATTAAGAATGTGAAGGTCAGAAATGTTCATCAATACCAATGAATGCTTCTTTCTGGAGCTCAGTTCAAAAGTAGTCTGATAAAGCATCTCCACAAAGTTTTTCAAACAGGGAACATTCACTTCATTTTTAACAGCCTAGGTAAAAAGATAACGCAAAAAAGAAAGAAAATGGTTAAAAGCGTAAAACAACATACCACAATTACAAGAACTTTCTAAAGTTTTTAAATTAGTTAATAATTCACCAAAAATCTCATTGAAGTACTATAATGTGCCAAATGACCAAATGCTAAGTGAGTAAGACAAACCTGTTCCTTGCCCTGTTAAAACAAGGGAAGGATATAGGCCAGTGAACAGACACTGCCTGCATGGTAAAGAGGTGCTGTAAGAAAATACTGTCTCTGTGCTCTTGGAGCCCTCTGAAAGGGGTCCTGTGGAAACATTGCTCAAGGAAGTAATATCTGAGCTGAATCCATCATCTCTGCTCTGACATATTGCAATAAATGAATGAACAAATCCACTGTGAGCCTGCCATCGAGTCAATATCACCCCTCCCATTTAACCTCTCCAGCCCTACTTCCCACTGCCCTACCCTGTGTGCTGGGTTCCAGCCACACAGCTCCCGTGCAATTCCTGGATCACATCAGGCACGCCTTTGTCTCAGGACTTCTCACGTGCTCCTTCTGCCTGAGAAGCTCTTCCCTTAGTTACTCCCTCATTCTTTTAGTTTTTGCTCAAAGGTCACCATTTTGGTGAGGTCTTTCTTTTTCATTCTATTGAACATGTCAATTTCCCTATCTCACTGGCAAGAAGCCCTGGTGGCACAACTGCTAAGCACTAAGCTGCTAACCAAAAGACTGGTGGTTCAAACCCATCCAGTAGCTCTGCAGGAGAAAGACCTGGTGATCTACTCTTACAAAGATTACAGCCTAGAAAACCCTATGGGGCAGTTCTACACTATTCTACAGGGTTGCAATGAGTTGGAATTGACTCAACAGCACCTAACAAAAATACCCTACCGGCAATCATTATTCCCCTACCCTACCTTACATTCGCTCACGGTATACCACACAATCTGACAAAGTACATATTTAACATACTAGGTTCATGTCTGTTTTCTGCACTAGAAGTAAGCTCTCAGAGAGCAGGGAGTCTTTCCTATCTTGCTCATTGTTGTATTATTCCCTGCGCACAGAATAGGACCAGTGTCCTTGACTAGTACAAACAGTTCATGCATACAGCTGCTAACCAAAAAGCTGGAGGCTTGAGTTCACCCAGAAGGAAGTCCTGGTCATCTCCTTCTGAAAAATCTGCCAATGAAAATCTTAAGGGGAGCACAATTCTACTCTGACCCACAAGGGGTCACCATTAGTCAGAACCAACTCAACAGCAACTGGTTAACTGGTGGAATAGGACCTGACACACAGAAAGCAGCCAATAAATACAATGAATGAACAAATAGGGACCAGTCAGGCAAAGCCAAGGAGGGAGGCTATCAGACAAGAATGTTCTAGAAAGAAGGAGCTGCCTGGATAAAGGCCTGAACACAAAAGCAAACATGATACAAAAAATTAGGACAATATGCACATCCATATTTATTTCAGCACTATTCACAAAAGCAAAAAGATGGAAACAACCTAAACGCCCATTAACATCTCATAAAATGGATAAACTTAGAGGACATCATGCTGAGTGAAATTAGTCACTCAGAAAAGGACAACTATTGTATAAGACTATGAAAAAAAGTTAGGGTTGCACACAAAAAGAAACATTCTTTAATGGTTACCAAAGGAGTTCTAGTGGCGTAGCAGATAAGGCATCTGGCTGCTAACCAGGTCAATGGTTCAAAACCACCAGCTGCTCTGTGAAGGGAAGATGGGGCAAGGAACTTCTATAAAGATTTACAGCCTTGGAAACCCAATGGGGGTTGTTATGAGTTAGAATTGACTCAGTGGCAGTGAGAGAGGGGTTGGATGGAAAGGAAGGTAAACCACTAACGAACGAAGAGGGCAAACACATACTAACCTGGGTGAAGGGGAAGGCACATTAAAAAAAAAAAAAAAAAAAGGATTCGGACAACAGAATGATAGTGGAACACAGTCATGGGTCTTTCTTTTTATATCCTGCTCCTTTTGACAGATTACCTTTAAAAACTACTACCTGCTCTCAGTCAGACATCTGGCAAAATACCTTACCGAAAGGGGTGGGGAGTGCACATAACAATTGGAGATGGAAGTGCAGTAATTCACAACCATTTTAGAAAAAGAACACACAGTACCATAATCTACTGATAACAGACTAAAGCTGGTATATTTTTATAAAGGATAACATGTTTTCTTCTTAATAAGATGAGCCTAATTCACATAATTAAACATTGGGGTGGGGTTTTGGCAGGGGCTAACTCAAAACAGCTTACAAACTAAAACTCATGACTTTTGTTTGTCCTCACTGAAAAATATTTAAATATAAATATTTGAATATTGAAGAGAAGCAAAAATATTATGCCAATCACTCAGCCATGACTATTTTAAATTCTTAACTTTTCTTACAATTCTTACATGTCTACCTTTCCTTAACACGCTCTAAAGACAGGATCCAAATACAACAAACCAATTCATAAGAACACACAGCCAACAGAGTCAATTAATTTAACTATCAAAAATAAAATCAAAACAGACCAATCTGATTCTCCTCATGAGAACAAATTTCTTCAGTTTTTTATTTCTTAATAAAATAAAACCAGAATAAAAAGAATATTATTGACTTTTGTGTCTAGCCAAGATGGAGTATGGGCACACTGGATTTTCCCTGCCATTTGAAGGACCCAAAAAAAGGACAAAATATATGAATGGCATGCAAGACACTATACTTCAGTCAACAAAAGGAAGTGATTCTTGAGATATGGGAAACAAAAAAGGAAAGTCCTTCAAAGGCCCCAGCTTACTGCCTTATGAGAGTCTTCAGGCTGCCACAGAGTAAAAGACAGCCAAGGTGAGCCTGGCAGATAGCCTGACCTGAGAAGAAGAAACTGAGTGTCTGGGTGGATCAAGGCGACCAGAGTTCTCAAAACAGTGTACTAAAGAAGAGGGGAGCAGGGAAGGGAGAGCAGAGAGGGGAGGCGATAAGAGTACCGCACAGAGGCCTCCGAAGGTCTTCAAGTATCCCCCTCCAATAGTCAGTCTGGGGAAAAACCACCACAAAGAATGATAGTAAACAGTGCTAGGGTCTCACAAAGGACCAGGAATAGGATTGATGGACTGGACTCGAAAACTTCAATATTCACAAAGCCCTGGGAAGAATATACAGAAGCATTCTGCCTCAGCAGCGAGAAATTATTAACCCAAGATACATAACAGCTCTGGCCCCACCTAACAAAATTTAAGACAAAAACTCAAAAGGATCAAAGCATTTGCAAGTAAATTAACTGAGTCCCAGAACAAAGCCCAAGAATATATTCTATTTGTTTAAAAATAGAGCATCATCTATATTAGGCAAAGTGTAAGACTGAAGGTAACTACTATATCAATTTCGAGGTGATCAGCAAGTAAGAATATTTCATGTGGCAACTTCCTCGATGAAAAAATATTTTTAAATATAATAAAAAAATAAAAATGTACTTACAGCAGCAACAGGGATAAGAATCTCCACAAATAAACCAGCAAGTGCATGTTTTATATCTTTATCTTTTACTTCTAAAAAATACTGAGCACATTCCTTGAGGGGAAAAAAGAGTCTGTTAGAATAACAAGATTAAAGAACAGTACCATGTTACTGTGCAAAGTCTGAGAACGTCACAACCACCTCAAAAACAAAAAAAGAATTTCACACTTATAACAATTTAAAATTTGGAATAAGAAACGAATTAATAATTATGCTATTTATGTATACTTTGTTTCTTTTAAAAAGCCACGAAGAGCAAGAACAACCACCAACAGGTAAAAGTCTAACCGCTGCAATGGAGAAAGTGTATCACCTGCATAAACTGAAATGATGCTTCAAAGTCTTCCACAGGATACATTTTCACTCGGAAAAATTTCATTCCCATTATTAAGCTGATGACACTTTGTACCACATGTGGGCTTTGTTCCTTTTGTCGCAGTTCTTTTAATTCTGTCACAAACTTCTTCCTTACAGCCTGAAACCTTTAACATACATAGATATATAATTTGAATTGAACTGAAAATATTTATTTCCCACATGATGTTTAAGGTTGAAATCACAAGGTGTTTTGCCTAAACAACATCTCTTTTCTCCACCTTCAATCAAACTTATCAGAAAAGTGTGGAAAAGGAAATAAATTTGTCATCCTAACTTTGTTATTCATTTATTTTAAGGTGAGAAATTCCTTAAGGCTAACCAACAGGATTTCATTATTCCTAGGATAACATCCACCTAACACCACTGCTGTTGGTGTTATTAGCTGCCACTGAATTGGCCTCGATTCAGGGCAACCCCACGCACAGCGGGTTCAGACCGTTGTGATCCTAGGGTCTTCACTGGCTGATTGTTTGCACGTAGATCACCAGATCTTTCTTCCTAGTCCGTATTAATTTGGATGCTCCCCTGACACCTGTTTGGCATCACAGCAGGCAACCAAGCCTCCATGGATGGGGGGAGTGGCTTCTGTGAGATAAGCCACTGACCCCTCAGAGGTACAAAGGTCAGGAACAGAACGTGAGTCACCTGCAGGGAAGGTGGGAATTCTACCACTGACCAATAATTAATCAGTTTATCACAAAAACCGTAAAATCAAATAACCCATTTATGAATGTACCCATGTAAATCAGCCTATTTCCAATGTTTTCAGGCTTCTTTTTAAAACAAAGTCTGCAATTTTGCTTATATGGAGAGTAGATTGGAGACCATAAACTTGTTGAGAGATTAACCAGTCAATTGTTAGGGTACTAATTATCAGTTAAAATTATTATCTCACTACAATGTAGAAAAATGAAAGAAAAGGAGAGGGAGGACACGGGTCTCACAATGTGAGTAAGTCAAAGAACAGCAACTGTTCAGAAGAGTGAGCACCACCCTAGACCCTAAGGACCATAATTGTTAAAGCTGGTAAATTTTCCTTTGCTTACACAGGTATGTTTGAAAAAGGTATATGTTACTTTATTAACCAATACGCTACTTAATTTTTCTCATATATATATTATGAATAGAGTCCTTGGGTGTCACAAATGGTTAAGTGCTCAGCTACTCACTGAAAGGTTGGTAGTTTGAATCCACCCAGAAGCAACTCAGAAGAAAGGCCTGGTTATCTACTTCCAAAAAGTCACAGAAGGAAGATTGGGCAATCTACTTTCGTAGTGATACTGCATTGGAAACCCTAGGACGGGTTGTGTGTGTGTATATATTTTTAAGAGTCATAAGGTACAAGAACAACCACTGTTAGGGTGCTTTTATTTTATAAATATACTATGAAACAACTAAAGATTTAACTGTTGAAGCTACCAGCGGAAACCAGTTTCAGAAAGTGAAAATGACCTCAAATGAAGTGTACTTTCCAATGGTCACTGTATATAGGGGAAAAAACATTATGCATTAACAAAATATGGATGCAAGATAGGATAACTTATTTACTTCCATTTGAATGCTGGATATTACAATTCCATTTTGCATGAAACAATTTGTCAGCACTTTACAAAGAAAATCTTTGTAAAATGGATAAAATATTTCCTTTGCAAAAATAACAGAATCCAAATGTTCTTTTTTTTTCTCTTATTAAATTTCCCATAAAAATTATTAGTCACTACAATCAAAGAAAATGCACAGAAAAGATTCTAATCTACCTCCTAGCCTTTCTCCATCCCCATTCCTGTTTCTCATCACCTCAAAAGACAGCACCTATAGCTAACCCACTGTGAATCCTTCCACATTTCTCCCCCATGGGCATTATGCGTGTAGGCAGAAAATACTTCCATATTGCTCTAAGTGGCATTTCTCCTACAACTAGATTAGTGAAGCTCAGTACTATTTCATAAGTTCGGTGGCTGTTTGGACTCACTACCCTTACCATCCTAGAATTAACTGGACTTCATCACGATATAGTGTTTTTCTGGAGTATATAATACTATACTGATGTATTATTTCAAATTTCTATATCAACATTCCTAAGATAGGAATTCATTTTGGATAAAATGAAAATATGATGAATTAATATATTGTTGTTCATATCTTTGTGTGTCTATATTCCTGAGATAGGGATTCACTACCAATTAAATATAAATGAGATATTAAGATATTATTGTGTAAGTCTAATCCATTGAAAATACTTCATTGGCTTTGCAAGGGTTTCTAATATCTTTATTATAAAGGGTAAAAGATACACCAACTAAAATATATTACTCAATATTCAAATGCTAACTACTAAACATCAGCAATAATTTCGCCTGTTGCCACTGTACAATTTAGAGAAGCTGTTATCCAAGAAAATCTGAAATGATCCTTTTGTAGTTACAAATTTCCCAGTAGCAACAACAAAGATTCAAAATCATTCATAGTCTTTAGAACAGCCACAAAATGCTAAAGACAGATATTTGTTTGCTGTTTCCTATAGTGATGGTTGAATACCATTTAATGGGTATAACGCCTAACAAATAACACTTTTTATGGAGTGATGGAGTACCCTTAACTTTAGCTTTTGGTATTCTCCCATGTACTCAAACCTACGTTTAGTATCAAAATAAATAAGACAATTAGGAGACACTGCTATCTCAAAAAAAAAAAAAAAAAAAAAAAAACTATCCAACTGGAAACTAACAAAAATAACTATTGGCTCTGTAAACACTTCTAGAAAAAAAAATTTTTAATACTTTACATAGAATTGTGAACAACAGAAAATAACGTAGTATCCTGACTATTCTTGGCAATTTCTGACTTCCTGGATTCACACATTTATAGAAAACTCAAAGTATAAGAAAAGTTGTGAAACTGAGCAAAGGATCTTGCTTAAAGAACCTCTAAGGGACAAAGCAGCTAAGTAAATAAGGAGGTGAGAGCAGGCTTTATAACAGTGATGTGACACAAATGGTGACTCTCTAATTACCAGTGTCTGTTACAGTAACTAATAACAGAGCATTCTACAAGGGAAAGCAAATCAACATCAATGATTCATAAAACTTACTTTGACTGAGCAAGAACCCCTATCACCTCTGCATACAAATCTGCAATAATATGCACATTCCCAGTGTTGGTTCCTGAATACCTAAAATAAGAGAACAAACAAAATATTTCATTAAATTTTTCGGTAAACTCTCTTTCTTTATAAATTTGAAAACTCTTTCATAGAATGATGTATAATCTTCTCTGCATACTCATGTGTAGGGTGATAAAAACCACATACATTTTCTCCCATCTCTAGATTTTAATTTGCCATGAAATCAAGCCTTCTGATTCTTACAAATTCAATCTATGGTGTTAAGAATTATTTTTACAAAAGACTTTCCTACAAGCATTTTGTGTGGATTTTACAAGAAATGGAAAGATAATTGCTTTAAACTTTAAAAAAAAAAGATCAATGAAAATTGAAATTGTTTTTAAATATGGATGATGGGCAAAAGCTGCAGCCCCAAGTTAGTATTTTACTCACACTTCCTTATGTTTAGTATTTTACTCACCCTTCCTTATGTTTAAAGTGCTTGAAAGCTAAGTTGAGAACTTCATGAACTAAGGGATCAGGCACAGGATGAACAGGAATCTAAAATTTCAAAAAAAAAAAAAAAATCATCAAATAAGAAAGAGCTAAGTAAGTTAAACTTCCACGAACAGTTCATCATTTTAACTGATTAAATCCATGACTTGAATTTTCATTACATAACATATTGGTAATCTGTGAATCTTTTCCTTTTTTTCTCACAGTCTTACTATTTATTTTCTCTAAGAATTTAGTCATTCATCTAATTTAGCTAACACTAAGTTTAAGAATAACTCAAAAAAATAAAATAAATAAAATAACCCAAACTCACCGTCATCAAGTCGCTTCTGATTCATAGCAACCACCACTGGGTTTCCAAGGGTGTAAATCTTTATGCAAGCAGACTGCCTCACACTTCTTCAGTGGAGCAGCTGGTGAGTTCGAACCACAGACCTTTTGATTAGCAGCCAAATGCCTTAATCACTGTGCCACCAGGGCTCTTTACATTTAAGAATTTTAGCCTTATAATTACTAATCACTAAACTATGGACTCTGTGGGGGAAAGCAGCAAATGCCACCGTGGCTGTGACTGTTAGAAAGCCAAGAAGAGACTTTTGTATTTCTCTCTGCAGCATCTATTCAACAGCTACCTTTGTACTGAGCCAGCCCCATTCGTCATCTAGCCTGACTGCACCCTCTTTTTTTAATAAATTCAATTTATAACTCTGTTGTTATCAGAAATTCGTCTAAGCCTTTAATTTAAAAATTGCATGATAGTCTCAAATATGTAAAACAAACAAACATATTTAACTTAGAAAGTAAAGTCCCTCCCCTTTCCTCAGATATAATCACTATTAACAATTTGGTAGGTATCTTTCCAGGCATCCCCCCTTACCAGATACACACACCTTACTCTTACTTAACAGAGTGATGTAGCTTTCTGTGTCAGTACTCAGAGCTCCACCTTATATTTTTTAACAGCCATGTAATACATGTCATTCCAGATTTTCAATATTCAAACAGTGCTACAATTTGTGCACTGAACCTTATACAGCGGTATAGTTCTAGGGGAAAGAATCCAAAAAGAGTAACTGCTGGGGCAGAGTACACAAGCCACCTCTACTAAATATTCTAGCTCTAGAGATGTGTGTAAAGACCTCTGGAAGCACAGTGACTAAGGCATCTGACTGCTAACCAGAAGGTTGGTGGTTCAAACCCACTAGCCCCTCTGAGGAAGCAAGACTGGGCAATCTATTTCCATAAAGATTTACTGCCTCAGAAACCCAACAGGGGTCACTGAGTCGGAATCAACTTGATAGCAGTGGGTTTGATTTTTGTTTTTTTACAGAAGTGTGTGAGTCTGTATTTGAGCCCTCTACTTTGTTTCATAGGAGCTCTGGTAGTGTAGTGCCTAAGGCATCTGACTGCTAACTAGAGGGCTGGAGGTTCAAACCCACCAGCCCCTCCTCGGAAGGAAGGTTGGGCAATCTACTTCCATAGTGATATCTCCTTGGAAACCCAAGGAGGGGTCGCTAGGAGTCGGGTCTGACTCGACGGCACATAACAACAACGCTTTGTTCCATCAGTCAATCCACATTTCTCTCTAACAAAATCATGATGCCTTAACTGTTAGAATTAATAGTAAATCTTTAAGTCCTGAGGTTTGATACGACAAGTTTCCTCTTACTTTTCTTCAGAAACATCTTGACTCTTCTTGGCTAGTTATTCTTCCACATTCAATTTAAAGCCATCTTTTCAAGTTCAACAAAAATTGCTAGGATTTTTCTTGGAGTTGTATTGTACTCACAGATTAACTTGGGGATAATTTTATTCTTATACATTTGCATGGAATATCTTTCTGTTTACAGGCTTTCAGTAAAGTTTTATAATTTTTTATTTATATTCTCGGTTAGATTGATTCCTAACACAATAAACATATTAAGAACATTTACATGGACTATCTTTCTACTTCTTTAAAGGCTTTCAATAAACTTTTATAACTTTTTATGTCCTTTGTTAGCCTTATTCCTACCCCAATAAGCATATTAAACCCATTGCCACAAAGTCAATTACAACTCATAGTGACCCTGTAAGGGATAGCATAACTGCTCCAGAGTTCCCAAGACTGTAATCTTTATGGAAGCAAACGAACACATCTTTTCTCCTGTGAAGAGGCTAGTAGGTTCCAAAAGCTGACCTTTCAGGAAGCAGCCTAGTGTTTAACCACTGAACCACCAGGGTTCCTTCCCTATGAGCCTATTAAGCTAAAAACCAAACCCACGGCAGTCGAGTCGATTCCAACTACTAAGAGATGCTTAATGTCATTAATAACGAGAATGTACAGAATACATGAGATAATATTCTACACTTATTTGATGGGCAAAAATTAAGACTGGCAATATCAAATAGCAGGGATAATGTGAACGTGTGAGGTTTCTTAAACATGCTGATAGGAGCTTAAAACAATTTACACAGAGCCTGAAAACTAGAAGTTATACTCTTAAATATACACGTGTGTGTGAAACTTTTGTACATGTCCAAAATTACATATGTACAGGAATTCTCTTTCGATGCTCATAAAAGCAAAAATAGAAAGAATCCAAATGTCTATCAATATGAGATTGCCTAAATTTTGATACATTTATACAATGGAATATTTTATAGCCAAGAAAATAATAAACTACCACTACACATTCATAGATGAATATTAGAAACATAACGTTGGGTAAAAAAAAGTAAGAGCCAAAGGACAACAAACAGTAGGACACCTTTATATTTTCCAAGCTCAAAACCAAGAACAATTTAATGTGCTGTTTAAACATATATAAAAATACTTTCTTAAAAAGGGAATAATTAACTTAAAAATAAGTATGAAAGAGAGAGAGAGAGAAGTGAACTAGGAGAGATTCACACAAGATTTAAATTAAAGGTAATGTTATATATAGCTCTCAGGTTGTGGGCTCAGGTAACTATCATAAATAAAAAAAATACATAGATGGCTATGTATCAGAGACCCATGGTGAACTAACAGTAATGATTTATGCAATTCTGAAGATTTGGGATCCAATTAAAAGAAAGTCCATATTTGCTTAAAATTTTTAACAATATAGACTATAGAGCACTTCAATAATAGGATGAAATTTTAATCGAGATATTAAATAAAACTAAAAAGCTACAAACTAGACCAAGAAAAAAATATCTAAGAATTTTAACTACTCAAGAGATGGACAGAATGCCTCTTGAGAGTTTGATGAAGGAGAGATTTGTATTAAAAATGGAGATAATGTATTCCCTACAAAGATAACCAAAAGTCTAGCAGGATGGAGCTGAATTTAGTCCTGAATGATGATCAGAAACTAGTTCAAAATGTAAATATGAGAAAGTTATATGAGTAATCACAATTAAATTCAACATTGTAATGATGGGAAAAAAATACAAGAAACCCAGTAAGTAATTACTCCCTTACATTTATTCATCTCAATGAGGTGATTAAATTCAAAACCACTTAGGACAATGGCAACGACTTTCGAAACACTCTCCTGAGCAGACGGAGGCACAGCAGCTGGCACAGCTATTAAAGGTTCAGCGAGAACTTTCACTCTGTGACTCAAGGCTGTGGCCTCATCTTGGCTAAATGGCTCACTATTCTTGACTATAGGTGAACTAGAGCTCTGGTGGTATAGTAGGTAAGGCATTTGGCTGCTAACCAGAAGGTTGGCAGTTCAAACCCACCAGCTGCTCTGTGAGAGGAAGATGACGCAATCTACTTCCATAAAGATTTATAGCCTTGGAAACCCAATGGGGGTTGCTGTAAGTCTGCATCGACCCAATGGCAGTGGGTTTTTTTCTTTTTTTTTTGGTAGATGGATCAGAAAGAGCATTCCCCTTAGATTTTCTAGAAAATGGGAATGCCCTAAATGCCTGAAACTGGAATCCAATTTGAGAAAGTGAACTGAGAATGAGATTCTTATACTACCCAATCACAATCTCATACAGGGATTAAACAAGGAAGCAGCAGTAATCCCAACCCTACCTTTCTATATAGCTCAGAGACTACTGCTCCCTACTGCTTCTAAAAGTTATCTCCATAGTACAGGAAATAAATGAAGCTTCTTTATTAGCTTGTAGAAGCCAAGATTTAAAACCCCCATGTTAGTAAAAGGGCAGAAACTTAATATACTCTGTATTCTATAAAGTTCAAGCATTCAGAGTTATGATGAGACTCCAGAAGTCTTTCACCTTGTCCCAAGTGGATAAATTAAAACTGAACACCCAGAATTTCTCTAGCAATTAGGGTTACTTAAAGTTTTATGATTGTGTTACATAATTACAAGGATCTTTTCAATATTTTATAGGCAAACACATCCCAGCATTACAAAAGTACAACAATCACACAGTATTGATACAAGAATGTCAGAATCCTGGTTGGTCAACTTAGTAAGGACATGGTAATTTTTTACTTGGTACTCTGTGTTTCTCTTTTTAGGACCACACTATTCATCTCATATTAAGAAACTAAAACAGTATCCCCAAAAGTGTTCAATTTGTCAGACATAAGCTATAATTAAGCTATTATAAAATGAATAAAAACATTTTATTCACTATAACGAAAAAAGAATAGAAAGAGCATGGTCTTTGGATTAATCTCATGAAACTAGCTATTTAACTGTCACCTGTAATATGTAGATAAGAAATTAAAGAACTGTACTTATTAGTCCTGAGATAATGCAAAATCAGGTTATCAGAATTGGAGATGGATTCTTGCCTTCTCATCTTTCTACCTTTCTCTGAAAGGGATCAGGACAAAATGCTTACTTCCTGGGAATGGGGGCACATGAAGGGGTAGAGACAGAGGACAGAGACACTGAGAGCTACTAAGCCAGGTCAGGAAATGGCAGGAAACCAATCCCCTTTCAGGGAAGCAGGGAGGAAGATGGAGCAACCTTTGCAGTCTCTTAGTCTGATTTTCCTGGATCAGGCCAACAAAACAGGCACCAATGTAACCAGATTACTCATGGTGACCCTACAGGAGTAGAACTGTCCTATAGGGTTTCCAAGGCTGTAAATCTTTACAGAAGCAGACTGCCACATCTTTCTCCTGCAGAACAGACAGTGGGTTCAGTCTAGTGCTTAACCACTGTGCCACCAGGGCTATGAGCCTGACTTGACTCAGTAGCATTGGGTTTGGTAACCAGATTACTAGAATCGCAGCTGTTACCCTAGAAGCCCCCAGATACCAGATGATTCCCACTGTCATTTAAAAGAGGACAAATATCTGTCAGTAGGTGATGCCAAACGGTAGCTGAGACCAGAATATTTAAATCAAGCAGCCTAACTCCCAGAGCTCCTTCCAGAACTCAAGCTGCTAATCACATAGGTTGGTTTGCGATATTTCAGTAACCTTACAATAATGCAATGCTCCATTTCACATTTTCATGTTTAATTTTTTTAATTTAATTTTTTCAGACTGTACTTACTATACTATGTTGTGGTTTTACCATATTAACTTTTCTCACAGGGCTGTGTATTCTAGGCCAGAGATAGGAAATTTATCTGCTCCAGTTATGCCTGAAGTGTAACAATGACAGCATGGCTTAGCCATGCTGGTGTACCCTTTACTGAAGAATAAATACTACTACTGTCACCGTCAATGTTTGTTACATGTCTGTGTACAAGATTCAAGGAGCCCTTGTGGCACAGTGGTTAAATGCTCAACTGCTAACCAAAAGGTCAGCGCTTCAAACCCACCAGCCACTCTGCAAGAGAAAGATGAAGCAGTCTGCTTCCATAAATATTACAGTCTTGGAAACCCCATGGAACAGTTCTACTCTGTCTGATAGGGTCGTTACGAATCTTAGTTGACTTCCAGCAATGGATTTGGTTTTTTTTTTTTGTTTAGGTGTCACATTCTAGTTAGGTTTAGGTGCATTACACACTGAGTAGTGTATGTGTGTGTGTGAAGTGTATATGTATATATAATTAATAACACAAATAACATTAATAACACATGTGACAGTCCCCTACTTTACAAATGAGGGAACTAAAGTTGAAAAGGTAGAAGTAAGTACTTCTCCGGAGTATACTGCATCCTCAATTTCTGCTATATGAAAACTCATTGAACAAGTGCAACAGAAGAGGAAAGAAAACCTTCAGTGCCATCAATATAGCCAAAGAAAAAGAGAAAGAAACCAATATAAGTCAAAGAAGAAATGTATCTTATCTTTAATTTTTGAGAGAAAAAAGCACAACCTCTAGAAATTGTATTTGAAGAACAAGCATTTTCACAAAGCAATTATTCTTATTAAAGTCTCCTGAAACCCCTGTCTTTGCCAGAACAACAAAGCCAGGTTAAGCTATGAACACTGGGGAGTCAGTGAGGTTCGTTCATCAGCCAAATGATGAGCTGGCAACACAAAGAAAAGTGAGTAAGTTCCTGCCTCAGCAAAATGCCAAATAACTCTGTGTCATGAACCTTTAGGTCTGTGTTAAATCTGAAAATGCTAAGGATCTACCTGACAGACAGAAAAGACGTCCACTCCAGAAACTTGTACAAAGGCACCAATAAAACTAAATCAGGAACTTAAAATGGCTCACAAACTAGAGGTTCTCCATCTTCTTGTTTGTTTCAGAGCACAAATATGTGACTAAAACTCAATATAAAGGAACACTGGCTTCAAACTTCTCTAAATACTATATTGCTATTTAAAATACTTTTATCATGAGTTTTATAGCCACATAGCTCTTTGGTACTAAGTATCAACGGTCCTAATTGGTTCCTGTCCATGATCTCAGAATTATCCTTCTGGCTTTCTGAAAAAATAAAATAAAACTTATCCACTATTGTCCTAAATTAATTTTGTTTCCATGGTGAATTATATCATTTAATTTCAACATATTTATATTAACTCAATTCTCTAAAGTGTTATGATTAACACTTTAATTTTATAAGATACTGGCCATGTCATCTAATTTTGTATCACTAATTTTACCAATCAGAATAATATTATTTTTATTCTTAAAGAGAATCTTGAATATAAATATGAAGTAGCTTTATAATCTTCAGTATGTAACTACAACAAAGACCATTTCCTTATCTGTAAATTGAAAGTGACAAAATTTATTGGGCACTTCCTATGTACCACACATTATTGAATTTAATCTTCATGATTGTATAAACATGATGCTACCATCATCCCTGTTTTACAGCGAAGGAAAGAATCAGTGGGTAATAACTTGCCCAAAATTATACAGCAAATAAGTGGTACAGCTGGGATGAGAACATTTGCTGGGCCTATCATAATATTCAGCTGATCCAAGGAATATAAAGTCTTTTGTGCATTATAAAGAGTTCCAAACATACACTGGAATCGATTCCATGGCAACTCACAACAACAGCACATATATATCACTGAAGACATAATAAATTATTCAAGGAACAAATAGTTTATATACAGGCATACCACAGAGATACTGCAGGTTTGGTTCCAGACCACCGCAATAAAGCAAGTCACAAAAAATTTTTTTGGTGCATTTAATTCCCGGTGCATATAAAAGTTATGTGAACACTACACTGCAGTCTATTCAGTATTTAAGAGCATTATGAAAAAGTTTGAAATACTATGAGAATTATTAAAATGCGAGACAAGAGACTTGAAGTGAACACATGCTGTTGGAAAAAGGAAAAGCTTTCAAAATCCATACATACATGTGTTACGCTGATCTTGAATAGTAAAAATACATGATGACAACTGATGTTACATTATTTATGTCTTTACCATCTGACTATCCCATTCAGACATAAACTCAAAAATGCAGCGCCTAGCCCAATGCCAGTGCACAGTAGGCATTCAAATATCCACTGTATGGACGAGAATTTTCTCTTTCCCAAAAAACTATCTGCACTCGACAATTCAGACTTACTCTTGTCAAATCACTCCTACTTCTCAACTACATTACGACAGCCTAGAATGTATGCTTGAGGGCTGAGGAAGAGAAATTCTTTGACAAGAGAAGTAAAAAGGGATCAAAGTAGGTGAATGAGAGGCAGAATATATTTGGAGCCAAAAACCAATATTTAATACAATATCCACTTGGCTCCTTTTCTGCTAACAAGATTTTGTATCCTAGATGACATATAAAGGCAAAAGGAATAGGAGCGATAGGTGTAGGGCATGAAAGCCTCCAGCAACTGAAAGAAGTGCAGTTAAATTACAGTGACTTCGTGCATGTGGGCCAGAACTGTGGACACAAACCTCGAAATAAAGTACCTGAAATAGGAGTCTTAGTAAGCAAAGCACAGGAAATACAGACTTCAGAGAACTAACAGTACTTACCTGCTTTAGAACTTCAACCAAAACTAAACAAAAAATGAAATCTACTGCTAAGTCCCTCCTTTCAAGAAGATAATCTCTCTCACGTTGCTGTTCATCCCTGAAACAAGAACCCAGAATCAGAACTGCATTAAGACTGAAAGTTTTAAAATAGTAAATAATTTAACAATTCACATTATTTACTGAGTTTCTAATGTCCACAGTGTGTTACTGTGATTGTTAATAGAAATTTTAATGGCCGAGTGTCTGCATACCATGTTCTTTTTTCATACACTGGGTGTTTAAATAAACAGTTTACTATTATACCTGTCAGAAATTAAACCTAATTTGAAAGAAGGAACAAGAGGAAGATTTTAAACTTTATTAGAAAGCTTCCGGGGTAGTATCTCTATGGGAGCAGATTGCCCAACCTTCCTTCTGAGGAGTGGCTCGTGGGTTTTGAACCGCCAGCTTTCTGGTTAGCAGTCAAATGCCTTAGGCACTATGCCACCAGAGCTCCTTATCATTGCTCTTTATATGATTAGTGTTCTTTTTTTTATTATTGAAGAGTCAAATAAAAGCAATAACTTTTCTAGATGAAAATACAGTACCAGGTAAGGTTTCTCACAAATGTAAGTGGAAAAATCACAAGTGGAATCAACTGAAACCCAACACTAAACCATGGCACCATCAATAGAGAACAGATGTTTTCCGTAATGCCATGATCTCCCTGGGAAAGCTCAAGGACAAGAAGACAAGTTCTGGGATGCAAGCAGCAAGAAGAGTATCATGACATTGTAATACCGGGCTTTGGCAATCTTAACTACATCACAAAAAGGACTTCCCTTCACAATTCTCATCCATAAGACAACTTGTTGGAATACTTCCTCACATTCTTCAATGATTATAAAGCTCCTTATTGGACTACTGAAAGGATACTCCTGAAATTAGTTTTTGCATGACTAGTCCCAATGGTGAATATAATTAGAGCCCTAGCTAGTTTAACTGGTACCTTCCCTTGGTTTACAGATTAAGTATGAATTATCCTTCAACTTCACAACTACCTCTGTAACAAAAATAATCTTTTTTTTTCCCCCAGCATAGAAACCAGACAAGAACAATCTTCAGTTGATAACTCTATCACCCCTTTCATTCAAAGTGATTCAATTCCAGGTATAACAGTAGAAAATAAACCATTTACCCCTTAGATTTTGTGCTAGATCGAGGTCTATACTCGTAAGATTCATCTTCAGTTCCATTCTGACGTCTGTACCAGTCAAACAAGGTGCGAAGTAAGGAGGGGAGACAGTGCTCTGCTACTGAGCTCATAGAGCTTATCACCTGAGAACACACAAAAAAATTAAATCTCACTTGAAAATAAAATGCAACACTGAAACCACACTTCTAACTCTATTAGAAATAATTTAGAAATCAATCCACATAGTAACTCAAATACAGTAAATGTGTTTTAAAATAATTGCCAGAGGTATAGCCATGTAATAAAAGTAAAATTAGCTAAATTTCATCTACTATTAAACTTTATCCAAATCCATTCAGTTTAGCACAATGGCTTTCAACCGTTTTCCTGATGCCATATGCCACCCACATAGGTACAAACAGTAACATTCCTGATTACACACACAGATACCTCTGGGAGAACTGTTAGGAATAACATACACAAAAAAAACCATGCCTTCTTTCTGACCCTGCCAGTTACTACACTCACATGTGAAAAAAAGATTCTAAAATGTTGCCATCACAATGGACGAAGAGGTATATTAACATAGATGACTACATTATGTTAGAACTGTGGGGAATGCTCTAATTGACTTTGCATTGTTATGACACACAAGAGAGAATTGTAATTACTTCTGATTTCCACAAATTTACACAAAACAAAATATGACACAAAAAAGCTTTTAAAGCTTAGAATATAAAAATGGACAGCATAAAGATAAATGTAGTGGGATGAATAAATTTTTACTCAATGTGAGTCATCACTGAGACTATCTTAATTCCAAGTGAATATCACAAATTTATTTCATGAATGAACACAATTTGTCTGTAGTGGTAGTAAGAGATATACTAACCACTATTAAACAAACAAACAAAAAAACCAAACTCGTTTGCCATTGAGTCATGACTCACAATGACCCCTCCTTGGGTCTGTAGAGATACCAATCTTTCTTCCTAGGAGTAGCTGGTGGGTTGGAACCGCCAGCCTTCTCATTAGCAGTCAGATGCCTTAGGCACTACGCCACCAGAACTCCCCATCGAGTCAGATCCGACTCACAGTGACCCCTCCTTGGGTTTCCGAGGCAGTATCACTATGGAAGTAGATTCCCAACCTTCCTTCCGAGGCCTTGGGTTTCCGAGGCAGTATCACTATGGAAGTAGATTCCCAACCTTCCTTCCGAGGAATGGCTGGTGGGTTTGAACCGCTAGCCTTCTGGTTAGCAGTCAAATGCCTTAGGCACTATACCACCATTGTTCATGTTCAGGATTCTAAAGAAAACATTTTTCTCTTCACAAGGTTTTCTGTATCTGCTTCAACCTCCTGCTTATAAGATTAGTATTTTAAAATCCACATATGGTCAAGCATGCAGAACTTTGTTGTCCTTAACAGAAAAACTATGGGCTGCAGGGATATTCAAGGTTTCTTTAAGCCCCATGCCTATACGAAGAGTTGGTTTTGCTTGTTGTTGTTGTTAGGTGCTGTCAAGATGGTTCCAACTCATAGTCACTCTACGTACAACAGAACCAAACTCTGCTCGTTCTACGCCATCCTCACAATCAATGCTGTTTACGCTGATTGCCGCAGTCACTATCCATCTTTGCTTTTCAAAATTTATACCACAGCTTACTTTGTTTCTATTCTACTTTAATGATCTTTTCATTTATGAATTACCATAACCTGATGGGTAACTAGTTTCTAATAAGGGAATTAAAGTAAAAACAACATCCTAATTTTATTTTAACCAATTTTTTAAAAAATCTACACAGTATCACTAAAAGTAAATCCTTTTTAATATCTGAAGAAACAATAAAACACCAGCTGCTAGTGTAAATATATACTAAAAGAGTTTATACTATACATAGCTTTTTTAATGTGAAAAAAAAATTCAAGTTATCAGGTATGATCATTCATAGATTTTATTTACAATTTACATAAGAAAACAAAATTTGAAAATTTCCTTAAAATTTTAAGTGGATTTCAAATCCTGGTTATATATTCATTACTGAAGTGGTTCATGATGTGGATATTCTTAATACCTGTTGTAGTGGTATAAATTTTGAAACGCACTATAATGTAAGGTGCTCTTATCATTTTTGTTTGTAGGTGGTGGTACAAACCATTAACACATTTGGCCGCTAACAAAAAGGTTGGAGGTACAAGTCTACCCACAGGCACCTCAGAAGCAAGGCCTTCCAATAAACCAGCCATTAAAAACCCTATGGAGCACACATGGAGTAGCCATGAGTCAAACTGACTAGATGGTATCTGGTATAATTTTGATAATCGGTGACTTACCTTCCTATTTATGATTTACTCTAGGAACAATGGCTAATTACATCATCAGAATCACCTAAGGAGCTACTGTCAAGTACAAGTGCTAGGGTCCCACTCATAATGATTCTGATTCAGGAAACTGGAAAGAGATCCAGGAACACAGTTATTTTGGTAAAGACCCTTCCAGGTGATTCTAACTAATCTTCTTTTTCTACTCAATTAGACTCATGTGAACATCATCTTCTATTTCTTAAACACAAAATAACAGTAGAAAGGAAATCTGGATTATTGGTTTTTGTAAATAATCATATTTAATTTTAATAAAATAATTTTTAGACACGGAATTAAAATAACACTTGGTCAAACATTTTAATCTCAACAAGAGGAAAGGATTAACATTATGGGACTGTTAAAAATTTTTATATATTAGTATTCTGTACACAGGTTCTGACAGTCCCAACAGGAAAAAATAAATGCTAAAAGGTAAAATATTATTACGTGAAAACTGTATGAGCTGGAACACAAGGACAAATTGAGGTACATAAATAGAAACTTTCTGAGAAAAATTTCAAAGGACACAGTGAAGAAAATAACAGTGAAAAGTACAAAGTTCCAAAACACTAAATGAACTGAAATCAGCAGAGTTCACAGCTCATTCTACTTACTTGTGAAAAACAAAACGATAAATTCTAGAAAGAATCTAGTGTGTAAGTATATACAGGATCACTAAACAAAATAAAGGAAGTTGTTAATATTGGGCATATCTGGATTGGACTATTAGGACCAATGGAACTCTGGCAGCATAGTACCTAAGGAATTTGACTGCTAATCAGAAGGATGGCCATTCCGTGGACGGAAGACTGGGCAATCTACTTCCATAACAATTTACTACCTAAGAAACCCAAAGGGGGTTGTTATGAGTCGGAATCGACTTGATGGCAGTGAGTTTATTTATTGTCTTTTTAGGACCAGTATCTCCCTTTTTGAAAAAAATATTCAACCAAAATTGAAGTATTGGTCATAAATATTCCCCCAAAATTGACATACCTGGTCAAACTGAAGATCTTCACCCCTCTGAAGAGATCGGGACAACAGTTTCTCCTACAACGAAAGAAGTACATGTTGGTTTAGTCTGTATTTTCATTTGTAATTAGATTGTTTGAAAAGTAAGGCCCCTCTTGCCCAGGGGCTCCAGACCAGAGCTCTCACCACTTTCCTCCCCAACAAGAGTGGTAGTCATAGTCTCTAGTTCTATAACAAATCAACAATTCTTGGATTATGAACTTCATTACAGATCCTCTTCTGTACAGATTTATTTAAGCTCAAAAGCCATCAGCATTTGTTCATTCATATCTCACTCATTCATTCAACAAGCACTCACTGAAAACTGCCTAGTTAAGCACTCATGAGCATAGGCTGTGTGTTCCCGTAGCCTCACTTGGACAGCTGGCTTGAGCACCACTATGTGAATGACCCAAGGCTGAATACTTAAGATCTCTGTACTTCATTCTGTTATCTGAAAAATGAAACTACCAAATGTTAGTATCAACACTATGCAGCCTTGCTTAAGAAAAAAAAGAAAAAAAGAGATGGGGAGCTTTCCACGTTTCTTTATGCAGTATAAAAGTCTGGAGAAGAATGGAGCTATCGACTCGTAAAACACCAACAATAACTAAAATCCAAACCAGCTACTGTTGAGTCAGTTCTGACTCATGGAGACCCCATGCATAAAGTTTTTAATGGCTGATTTTTTAGAATTAGATCACCAGGGCTTTCTTGTGAGGCATCTCTCGATGGCCTCAAACTTCCAACCTTCAAGTTAGTATGTCAGTGAGTTAACCATTTGGACAACCCAGGGTCTCCTATCTACTCCTAGAAACTATATATATATATATGTAAACTAGCCAGTGAACTGACTGGAACCAGTGCCTTAGAAAGTTGGTTTACTCCCTCAAAATTCCCCCTAGGTATTACATTATTTAAATTTAAACTTCTTGCCAAGTTAATTCTTACTTTATAATTTCCTAGAATAGAATGATGACTGACAGTGTTAGCTATGGGCAAGACACTATTTAAACATTTTATACATTAACTCTTTATTCCTTATAATTATTTGAAACATTAAAATACTTCAATTGTTGAAGCAATAAATATAAACCAACAACTCAACATACCATGAACTGAGTACTTGCTCTGCCCTATACATAGTCCTTTAGTATCCATGGAGGATTGGTTCCAGGACCGCCACGAACACTAAAACCTATGGATGCTCAAGTCTTTCATATACAATGATATCTGATACAACGGTATCTGCGTAAAACCTCCAAAAATTCTCCCGTATACTTCAATTCGTCTCTTGTTGTTGTTGTTGTTGTTATGAGCCATCGAGTCAGTCCCGACTCATAGCGACCATTCCTTGGGTTTCTGAGGCGATTATCACTACGGAAGTAGATTGCCCAACCTTCCTTCCGAGGAGTGGCTGGTGGATTTGAATCGCCAGCCTTCTGCTTAGCAGTCAGGTGCCTTAGGCACTATGCTATCTCTAGATTACTTACAATACTTGTTGTTAGGTGCCCTAGAGTCGTTTCCGACTCATAGCCACCGCATGCACAGCAGAACGAGACACCACCCGATCCCACGCCAGCTCCATGATCGTTGCTATACTTGAGCCCACTGTCGCAGCCACCGTGTCAATCCATCTCGTCCAAGACCTTCCCCTCTTTCGTGGACCCTCCACCCTACCAAGCATGACATTCTTCTCCAGGGAATGGTCCCTTCTGACAACATGACTAAAGTAGGTGAGACGAAGTCTGGCCATTCTCGCTTCCAAGGAGCATCTCAGCCGCAGTTCCTCCAGAATAGATCTGTTAGTTCTTTTGGCAGTCCATGGTACTTTCCGCATTCTTCACCAGCACCAAAACTTAAAAGCATCAACTCTTCTTCGGTCTTCCTTATTCATTGTCCAGCTCTCACATGCATACAAGGTGACTGGAAATATCATGGCCTGTGTCAGGCACACCTTAGTCTTCAAGGAGACATCCTTGCTCCTCAGCATTTGAAAGAGTTCCTTCGCAGCTGACCTGCCCAGTGCGACACGTTGTCTAATGTCCTGACTGCTGCTTCCATTAGCATTGATTGTAGACCCAAGCAATGTGAATTCTGCGACAACCTCAATCTTTTCTCCATTTATCGTGATACTGTTTATTGGTCCAGTTGTGAGGATTTTTGTTTTCTTTATATTGAGATGTAATCCATACTGCAGACTGTGTTCTTCAATCTTCACCAGTAAGTGCCTTAAGTCATCCTCACTTTCAACAAGCAAAGTTGTAGCATCAGCGTATCTCAGGTTGTTAATGATTCTTCCTACAATCCTGATGCCATGTTTTTCTTCATACAGTCCAGCTTCTCAGATTATTTGCTCAGCATATAGATTGATAAGTATGGGGAAAGGATCCAACCCTGACACACTCCCTTCTTGATTTTAAACCATGT